AAAATTATTTTACGCAATGCAGCCATGCTGCGGTTTCTGGGCAACTCGTAATGCAAGCCAATGAATGAGTATAATAATATGAATGAAATAACTCGGTGTTCGAGAAAATACGCGCAATCCGCCTCCTCACATTGTTACCATATTCTACGGGAATGGTGCAAGTTGTCTTTAAGGTTAACTCAGTCCCTTCCTACAAAATGCACCCAAATCACCCGAAGCTAACGATTACATTGCTGGTTATCCAAAATCCATTTTCTCGAGCCTTTTTTGGAGAACCACAAATTGCAAATCTTTTTTTTTTCAAACGCACAATTCCTTCCGTGAAACCCAATCCTGGTTTTTAAAAAAGTCGTTTACCCCCCCCCCCCCCCAACAGCACAAATATTTGTTTTCAATTTTATTTTTCAAGCTGTCATGTTCTTCGGCAAATCATGCCTTATGCCTGAGAATTTCCCCTTCCCGCAATCCCGGACTCGCCTTAGTACCGACCTCAAGGGTCATTTCAATCTCAAAAAAGCGCATAAAGCGATTGTGTAAATGTCAGAGTTATGAGCGAAATTCAAAGCTAATTTCCTGTGCTCCTTAATGCAAATATGTTTTAGATTTAACCGCCCATTCTCTATAATTGGCGCAATAATTGTTTTAATAATAATTGAAGCATTTCGGCGCAAGCAACCACACACTGTGCAGTGTGCAGTTATGATGAAATTTTGCGAGCCACATGCACTAAGGTGCAGACATTTTAGTGTCCCGTTTAACGATTTCATTCTTGGAAATAGCGGTGTTGTGAACCGTCTTAAAAGCTCCGGTTTTTCATCCTTGAGACGTGTTATTGACGTTCTCACCGCATATCGACCTTCTCTCTCATACAACCGGATTGGACCGGGGAAATAACCGGCCTGACCACCCACAATCTAAATTTTAATTAGAGGGTCTGATGTTTTAAACCTTCGGAATTTTTCTCAAAGAAAAACATTAATAAAGGAACAATTATCCCCCATATTGAAACGATGTTGAGTATCCTGCGTATTAATTCCAATTCTAAATCGTTACCGTATTCACGAGATTGTACACAACTAAATGAGAAAGCTTGACCAAAGTCATTTTTTAATCATACTGTTTGTTCTCCTCATTTCTGCCAAAGACAAGGACTGAAATGCTGCTAGAAAGCGTTAGAATACACAATGTATCAATATTATATTCTCCACAAACTCAGTTCTTTTGAAATTTCTGAGAAAATAAGCGATGATTACTGAAATCACCTGAGCCCAAAACCGAGTTTTAGACGTGAAAAGGGACAATTTGTCACGCACAAATACACATGGGGTTTCGAATGTCATACGAACTCAATATAACCCTGCGATGATTTCGTCATTTCTAAACTTTTTCGAGATTGCCGATACGAAGTGCGCATTTTGAAATATAACAAAAAAGAAAATCACGAGAAATTTGATAATTTTACTGAGTAGACTCTTCATGCCAACATGTAGAGTCTACTCAGTGGGGCCATAGTATGAAAAGGCACAGCACCTTTGTTTCGGACTGTTTGGTTGTCCTTCACAGCAATAAAAAACTTCAAGAAGTCAATGATTTATATTCAACAACCACGTGATGGCATTTTTATTCCAACCCTCTCCGTGAGTATAGTAATTTGGCAATCGGTATGTTATTAGTGATGTAGGATAACGGCGTCATAAAAATGATCTCTCTGACCTGATGACAGAGGGCGCTAGAACCAAATAACAATACCACTGTCAGACAGTCTCACCATGATAAGGTGGTCGAAAAAGTTTCAAAAAGCACCACTTTTGCTTTACAAATTATTTTACATTTGATTTGCCATTGGAAATCGTAAGCATGTCACGTCATGAACACCCTTTACATTTTCTAAAGCAAAATACGATCAATTTTATAGAATTAGAATTTTTAATAAAGGAAAATACTGATGTCTAAATATATTACATTTACATCTTTTACATACCTATAGATGGAATAGTCCTGTGAATTGAACAAAACATTTTTGCCTGTCTTTAATTACCTATAAATTATAATCGATTATCACCTCGAAAAAAATATGACTTAACAAAGATGTGAGCAGTAATAATTCGTCATTGGAATGATTGTCATCTACATTCGTTAACACCCTAAAAATAGATCCTTTTAAAAGGTGTTACTGCAGTTTATACGTTCATGCGCGTTCCACAAACTGTTACCAAAAAATAGTAACTATGCTCACAACCAATCTGGACTTCACACCTGAGGCACGCAATAGTGTCCTTCGTTTGCACCTGTTTCCCACCTGCAATGGACCTTGAACACCTGTGGGTTCTAATATTTCAAAGGAAGCGCGACTATGCATAGCATAATCTGATATTCTACGCTGGCACGATAAGATAGAGGAATCTCTTGTCTCTTTTCTCTTTCCTGTTTTCGACATCCTCAATATCCCAAGACGTACGAAGCTGTGAAAGGCGGAATTTAGAATAAGTTGTAGCTTCATTATTTTTGTCATTATATTGACATGCCTTCCAAAGAAGACAATCTATACAAAAGAGAAATGTCAGAGATATAGTAATTGTTACATGGTGACTGAATTCAGCCAGTCAAGTTGAAATCATGCTTTTATTTGGAGAAATTCGTCCTCCTAAAATTTCTTTCAGACAATTTCGCCATTCTTGCCCCAGCCTAATTAACAGATCGCGCAAGATAGGTCAGTTTGGTGATAGATTAATAAACAATAATTATCAAAAACTTCACTTTACTTTACTTCAAAACACTGCTAACCGTTTTACTTATTTTTTTTTTTTACAATTTACACCGTTATATTTCACGTAGAATTAAAAATTATCCTGTACGGATAAGCCAACTAACTACATTCAACTTTTGAAAAATTACATTGTGTTGTAATTAGAATGACTCTCGGGAAATATCATGGACACGCTGGTAATAATTATGTACATGTGAGCATTTTAGAAATGTTTCTTAGGGAAAAATCGATATGCTCAGCCCTTGCCCCTCAATTAGTTTCCACGCGATGACTAAAGTCTTAGTTAAGGCAAAATTTACCGATCCTTTGCAAGAATGCAAAAATTACCAAACGGGCAGAGGTCCCCACCTTTGTCCATACCCTAACTACATCCGTTTCACACTGTTTAGCCAACACTCCTTGAAGCAACTCATCCGCCATCTTGTTTCCCAAAAAGTCATGCTGGGACGTACATGTAGGCCTATAGGGCCCACATCGTTCTTAAGGTGAGATATTTTAAACTTTAAACAATAATTCGTCTATTAATCTGTTGTAGTCCATGGAATATGATTATTTTAATCTGCAAAGCAAGTCACCAAAAAAACACAATGGTTATTTTCGCCGAAAAAGGTTGTTAAAAAAAGGTTGACTGCAGGCGCAAAATTGGTGACCAAAGATGGCGTACGGGCCCCAGGCGCGGTTCTACGGGGGGCTGGGGGGGGGGGGCTGTAGCCCCCCCCCCCCATTTTTTTTTGTCTAGGCCCCCCCCCCCAAATAAATTCCGTAAAAAAAAAAATTGCATTAGCCAAAAGAAGGATTGTGATGTACATGCGAACGGTCTCCCCCTAAAGAAATAGTCGTGACAAGGGTGCATTAGTTAATATAGTGTGAACGATGTTAGGATTTTATTGGCGCTCCCCATTGAAAATATGGCATGAGCCCCCCCCCCATTTTTTTTGTCTAGCCCCCCCCCCCAAATAAATTCCGTAAAAAAAAAAATTGCATTAGCCAAAAGAAGGATTGTGATGTACATGCGAACGGTCTCCCCCTAAAGAAATAGTCGTGACAAGGGTGCATTAGTTAATATAGTGTGAACGATGTTAGGATTTTATTGGCGCTCCCCATTGAAAATATGGCATGAGCCCCCCCCCCCCCCCCCCCCCCCCCCTACCTATTGATTTTCGGAGGCCTAAGTGTCTGGAAAAAATAACCGGTCTACATTTCAGCACGCCTCCCTGAAAAAAATTCTGGATCCACCGTGCTAGCCCCCCCCCCCCCCAAAAAAAAAATATTGGTTCTAGAACCGCGCCTGCGTACGGCTACTTCGATGATATGAGTGAGTCTTGTCAGCCAGCCAGTCCATTCAGGAAAGAATGATATCAGTGGATCAAGAGCGGATTAACTTACTTTTCTACGCGGGCAAGCAACATTTATAGCATAAACGCTCCAAGCGCACTGTGTAAATCATTAATACCAACATCCAATACTTAAATATGGGGTATCGTGCCAATTGGCGCATCTACAATGGGTGACAAAAAGTGCCAAGTTGAAGAATTCCACAGGCCCTTATGAGATATTGACCAAAAGTTCAGCTAAGCCTTCTTCGTGTAGTTTGCAGATTTGCCATGTACAAGGGCTCTTACTATCGCAACTGCCTATTAAACGTTATCGCCACAACATGTGAGCAAGGACTTTTTGAAGCTTTTACTTTGCTGTAAAAGGAGTTTTCGCGACGTAGTTTTGTCGAAATTGTTGTTGTTAGGAGAAAAATTTAGTGGCATACCTACCGTTTTGACTATCATTCTTACCATATCTGACTTTTCATCGACCGGGACCTTCGAATGATTTCTATTTTCAGATTCTGTGTGCCTTGTAAATGCTTTGCATACTGTTATCTGATTAACATCTTTTATTTACATCGTATAGTCTGATTAACATCTTACTATTTACATCGTAGTACTTGTTCCTTATACATATTTCACAGGGCCCATGCAATGTAATTATTTTAATGCAGTCCTTGAAATTGCACCTTTGTGTCCCATTTAACCTTATTTTCAAGGGTATTTTGGTGCCTTCTGTTTTTTTTTTGCTAATGCAAATTTCCATATTCAAGAGCACAACTGTGATATCATTCCGAGCAGAAACCTCAATGTTACAGCTATTTTAGCACAAAATGTTGCTCGAGTTTTGGAAATGTTGCTGTCGTAAATTTTCTTTTCTTTGGTGATTCGTTGTTGTGTCAGTACATGGCAGTAAGCCAGTGAACAAATGTTGGGTTCACTATTTGAACAGAAAACCCCTACACTGAACAGCGCCTTCCTGAAATGACATCAAACAGTTTTCATACATTAAAGAGGAGTAGAAAGTAGAACACTGGACTCCAAACAACAGGTGTGTGCGGTCCTCACGGGCTGCAGGGTTGACAAGCGCACCTCGACGGCTCCTGAACCACCACCTCGCGCACGTAGTCCGATAAACAAGCGCCCTCATCGGTGACGCAGTGTGCAAGTTGGATTTTCGTTGACTGCATCTGGGTTTCTTGGCAGCAGGTGCATTTCTGTGAATTACATAAATGGAAAGGGAGAATCACCTCAGTGAGGAGATGATATTTCACAGTCATTTGCTTTCATACATATATTTGAAAGATTTGACGATTTTTTTCAACCACAGCCACGTGAATCTTAGTGAGTGGCACCGCTAAAGTTGGTTTTGTGTCATAATGCGAAGCAATGGTTGTACTGTAAACATTGCTTGTGTTCTTGAGCAAGACACTTTACACAGGACTGCCTGACTGAAGGCGATCATATGTACACCAGGCACCAGTGACCCTGTGTGAAAACATATCGTGCCAATCTCGGGAAGATCGTGCTGATCTCATGACCTCATGAACAGGCTGGGGTAACAATAATGAAGCGCTTTTAATTTTATTTTATACGCACCACATTATGTGCAAACAAACGATAACTTGGGAGAGAACCAATTGAGTGGCTGATTCGATGCAGAGCCAGTACAGAAAAAAGCCCAAAACGCGTAGCACAAGAATAAGTCGACAACGCAACAACTCCACAAATCAAGAGATCATTTATTAGTGATACTGACAAAACTGGGGCGCAACTAAACCCTGGGCCTGAAAATTGACCGAGGAGAACCACTCGATTCTGACATCTGAAATCCCCTGGATTACGTCCTCAACCCGAACGATTGGAGCCATTACAGCCAAAACGTGATATATACGGCCACAACGTGCCATTCCTTCTCCCAGATCAACGTGATGTGACTTAAACGCACTATAGCGATTTAGAGAGGATTGTTTTTTTAATTTGACGTTAGAAAGAACAGGTGACATTGGTTGATTCTTTCTCTATGTCAACTTTATCAGGCAATAAATGAGGTCTGATCATATTGCGGCAAATTGTAATGGAACCATCGACTTCAGTTGTGTTATCTACAAGAAGTGCATGAGTTTGCAGCATTCTAAATCTCCGCGGGTACCCTGGCCCTATGCCAAGCATTTTTGACGGAAGCTTTTTGTTTCGGTGAAACATTGAACCTGAAACCCTCTAAACAATGTGATTCTTTAGAGTGTATGGCTAACTGGCAAATTTTCAGAAACCGTAAGTTTATCTATAAGGAAAACGGAAAATGTGGCATCTAATTTCGTGTTCATAAAAAGGTCATTTATATCGTATGCCAAAAGTGGAAATGTTCTAATTGAATTCAGAAAAAAAAACCTGAATAGCAAGTTTAAAGACAGGCGTCAATCAGACGTAATTAAAGTAACCCCCGAGTATAGGGTATCTTATTCAACAGTTAGTACTGATATAACTCGGACACATCAGTCTATATACCCTTTCCGAGGCCCAAAAGCTGAAACGGTTTTCCCGGTACAATTCAAAATGTAATTCTACACTGATCAATTAACATTTTGGCAAAATGATGCAGCGATTAAATTACTCCAGTATATCTGTCAAACGATGACTATACTTCCCTTTTCGCATTGTAGCGACGGGCCAGAGAACTCTGCTATTCGGTAGAGGAATTCATATGAAATGTCACTGCGGATATTTACGACTGGCGCACCATCCGCACCAAACCTTGTCAATGACTGACCTTTCGGTGTGCGAGGAAACGAATCATTATCAAACAAAGTGTTTACCTCGGGTGCGAAAACAGTTTTCGAATGGTCTATTTTAGAAAAGGTCGACGCTTTGTGTAAGGACGTCCCTTTTCGAGACACCGATGCTAAATTTGACATTACGCGTGTTTAGCCGGATGAGGTTATCAGCGGTCGCGCCAATTCAGTTTGCCTTGTCTCATAGAAAGCTGTTTCAATCGATTTGAAAATAACTATCAACGGCAAAGAAATTGTGTTCACAACTGCTTAAAATGAAGGACAAATGAATATTATCATATTTCCCCGTGAACATAAACAACACATGAAGCTTACTATACCAATTGGAAGACCAATGGTGGCGCTATACATGCAAGCCGTAGACCCTTTTTCTGTGAATGTAAATTATTTTGTAGTTTCCTCAAAGACCATTTCTAAACTAGCTTTATAAAAAAAAGTCAAATTACAAAATATGAATTCACATTCAATTATGGTTTTATTTGTTTGTTTGTTTGATTGATTGTAATGAGAAAGCATTTCTACAAAAGTTACTGGCAATCGGTTGTTTTATCAAATCAATAATTCAAACTAAAGGTATCCATGTTTCATGTCTTAATGTTGGCTGCTGTAATAACTGATATTTGACGTTTTCAAATTGATTAAGCCTTCAAATATAGGCTAAATAAAAATCGTATTAATTCCTCCTTGTCGAGATAATGAAGTTAAGAGAAATAACAACAGTTTTATATTTGCTATTAATTATCTTATCTTACTCAATTATTCGACAAATTAGAGACGTTTTTGCGATCTACCATTTATTTTCGGCACGTGATTCCAATAAAGCACTTGCCATCGGCAATACTAAAATGGCAATCATGCAGTTGGTGTCAGCTGTGGGATAGGTCAACGTGAGACTTTCAATGGACGGAGACATGTAATATCACTGCCAATATCGATTTTCGACATCCCGTTGTAGGGTACTCTCTTAGAGAACAATGGTAGTAGGTCCACGATTGGCAAATTGTCCTCGATGGACAATCGGGAGAGCAGTAGTCAAAAAGGCTACACTATCAATTTTTCGTTCATGTTTCTCCAGATTGTTCTATTTTTATTTACAATCGCAAACATTATCAGGTAACGGTATAGAAAAACGCGTGTTCTTCGGACTATAAAGGAGTCTCCGATTGCCACTATTAAGCGATGTAACAGAACTAACAGAGGTAGCTTGTCGCAGGCAGTCACTGCCCAGAACTCGTGTAGTGCCTCTTTAAGTGACATTATGTTATGATAATAACTTATTTTTAACTGACGCACGCAAAATACACTAATATGGTGATATGGTGCTTACACATGACGTGTGTAATTTGAAATACCAACCATAGACCCATACCAGAGACTCCAATAATGCCTCGTAACGAAACCGCTTTCATTAAAAAAAAAAGTGCGATGTATTCCTGAATTGTCATTTGGGGTTCATTTATTATTCATAGCTAACAAAAGACGAGGGGGGGGGGTTACCATCATTTTCTTACCTTTACGAAACCAGCTGTCGTTACTACGCTAGGCGCTACGGACGAGAGGCACTGTCCCTCGCAACTGGTCAGCGTGACATTACCGCGGCAATGAAGGCGATTGACGCCAGTGTCCCCCTCTTGAAAACTCTGCTCCACCTCAATCCGGATAGTCTGTAGTCCGCAGAACTGAGGCAGAGCGGCGGTAGCCATCAAACCCCTGCCTGAGGGCTCGGGGTTGTGGTGTAGCATTGTCAGTAGGAAAAACAGAAACACCAACGGTCCACCATTTGCGAAGGGCAGACTTAGTCCCGTGTTGTGATGTAGAGGTCCTCGGTTATCCCGATTGCATTGCTGCATTTTTGACTCCAACTTCTACTGTGACCGACCAAGGGTCTTCCAGCGGTGAAAATACTCCCGATCAATAATTATCCTTCCGAATGTATCAAAACCTGGCCACCGATTACGCTTCTTATAACCCCTCACGACCAATTCCGTTTACAATTGCTGGCAAATTGATCATCCATGATGACAATGTGCATCTCTCTTTTTTTTTTAGTTTGTCTGGCGCCGGTCGTTGACGAGAAACGCCTTAAATCACAAACCACGGATGCGGTTTAAAATAACAAATTGCATTCTCTTATACGTGCGGGTGATGTCTATATTACATTGATCGGGGGAATAGACCTCGGACGACGAGACGAAAAACACACAATGAAGAGGAGACAAAAAATGAAGACGGGGTGGTGTGGCATCGAGAGCGTGGGATGCGGAGGCGAGTGGGCCGTCGAATGACTCCCTGACCTTGTAGGGAGCGAACACCAATTGCCGTGTTCGTTGGATTGATAAAATGTAATTGAACAATAGATACTGCTTGTAATATAGAGAAAACACCTGCCAGTCTTGTGTTGTAATGGCTTCTGATCGTCTACTGGGTGATTCTCTATACTCTAAGCTGCGAAAGTTGACTCAAAATCTCCGTAGGATTATCCCGTGTAACTGTTTTTAAATTTGCAAGAGGATTTTCGACAGGCGTGGGAGGAACCGGTCGGCATCCCTCAATAATTTTATAAAATATTGTGATCACAGGTTTAAAAGAAGACAATTTCGTATATTGTTTATTTTCCATCCCCATTTGTCATCACTTCTTACAAGATACTATGTCCATCCTTGCCCTTTCACTTTTAACTGGGGCGTATCTTACGAGAGAAAGGAATGCTCTATAGAATTAATCTATAGAATTAAGACTATATTGAACACCGTGCTGCTCCAGAGCAGCATGCACGTCTCTCTTGTGGGATGCACCACTTACATTGTCAACCGTGGAAGGCTTTTTCTAAGATGCGAAAATACCTCTTTCGGGTTAAGGATAATGTCGCTATTTTTTTGTACAAAAGTCATTGATAGGTGCTGCCCATTGGGACGGGAGAAACTCCTTCCCTACGGAATCATCGGCAACTTTAATTCTCCCTTTAAAGTGTGTAGGTCATGGAATTGTAAGGGCTGACGTCGTATAAACTCTATGTAGGCCTGTTTTCTCTGTGAAACCCGTCCCCGTAGCGTTTATAGAAATGGATTAAAACCACTCACGAAGTTAGTGTTATTTTGCTTTTAACGAAACCACATATGCGGGGAACAGGCTGGTCGGCTGTGTGCAAACTCCTGCACGTCAACACCAGTTTGACGACCAGTCACAGTGTACACTCAATCATCTAGCGCGGAAGACGAAGGCTATTTACTTAATATACAAAATTGTCTCCGGAGGGTGCACTGCAATCAGTTTATACTAACGCTCTCGGTGCTCGAGTTGAAACTAATTATGCAGGGCACGAAAGCATCTTGAATTTAGAGTCCTCTTTGTGTACCTGACTGACTCACTGAACTACTGACTGTCACTTGTAGCCGGGCAGTGCTATCGTATGGGATTACCCCGTAACACAAATGAATGGTCTAAATCCGGCCCATTTTGTAAACTGGTGCAAAAAGACTGCAGTGAATAGTTATTCTAGGTGGATCGAACATAAGTTTGTGGGCTTTGGGACCAGCTTGATCAGGCTTGCCTTGTCTTGTTTTGCCTTTGCCCAGTATCTCTTAAAAGTATTTCATGTATTACTTTTTTTGGTCGCCAATTTGCGTTATTGCTTAATATTTGACTTGTAACGCTTCTCTTTATCAAACCACCTTGTTTGAACTGGCCACTAAAGTGGCCAGCCAAGATAAGTAAAAGAAAACACTGATTAAAGATCGTCTTTCACGCCGTAGGCCCTATAAAATCTGCAATACTGCATACTCGCCATGTCTCGCTTTTCAGTATACAGGCTACGTTTTTCCTGTGCGAGTTTGCAAATAGGCGAATACTCTTTGCTCAAAGCAGTTTCATATGAATAAACATCATAGTGTATTTACACACGAAGATGACCTATACTAACCCCCCCCCCCCCCCCACTCAAAAGACAATAAAATTACAATCTGCACGCACTTGCTCAATCAATACAACAGCCTTATTTTTCCGGTCAGACCGTGCCTGCGAAAAAAAATTCAATTTTGGAAGAGGGATTGATATGTGAGGGGGCGTAACCTAATTTCATCATCGGGTGGTACTATCGGAAGTGTAATAACACGCTACCCTGAAGAACGATCCAGCGAAAAGGCTTTATAGAGATCCGCATGCCATCCGAAGTTTGAAATACAGCGGTACGGAGGTGGCAGGAAAAATAGCGACGAAGCTCTGACGTCGACAGGTCTTTACCGAGATGAGAAGTGTCAATAGCGACGTGCTGGGTGCACGCACAAATTGTGAAATGTTTTGCAGATGCCACGTGGCCATCTCTATGACAGAGGTGGTTGTAAGACTAAAATGTATTGTAGTCGAGTATGAGTAAGAGTATACGAATATACCTTGCCATGAGAACGACTACGAGTACAGGGCAATATTATTTCCTTGAGTATTGTGAGCATGAGTACGAGAACCTTCCATGATAGTGCGCATATTTCTATGGGTACACAAAAGTCATATTCTCAATAGCTTTTGTTGTCTAACTCTATAGGCATTATATAGACCAATGCAGAATCCTCCAAGACAGTAGAAAACGGGTTCTTTTCCTGCAAGTACTCCTTAAAGACATCTAGAAATCCAGCGGGAGAACATTCCTTGAGAACGCGTATGAGTACTTTGCCAAGATACGAGTACCGGTATGAGAACAGGGCCCAATTTCACGGCGCTGCTAAGCACAAAAATTTACTTAGCACAAACAAGTATGGCTTATAAAAGCAGGTTACCAGCCAAAACTCCAGGTGATTTTCATGCTAAGGCATACAACAGCTCAATACTAATCACAAGCAATATACATCACGTGCAGTTTTGGCTGGTAACCTGCTTTTATAAGGCCAACCAAAAAAGTATCCGGTTTCTGGTATGCGCGCGCGTCGCCGTAGCCATGCGCGTCGGCAAAATGAAAAAGTTTTTTTTTTTCAATGTAAGATGATGTCTCAAAACCGCCAAACTCACTGGTTTGACTGGAATCCTGCTGCTGCACAATTTTAACGTGTTTTTAGATTGGGTTATGGTCGAGAGTAAGCTTTATGTGGCCTCTCTGGACTCCCATATATTTGCACTAAGTTTAGTCGGGCACCATTTGCAGTCATCAGCCGACATTTGAAGCAAAAAAATAAGTTAAGAAAAACAAAAAAAGCCGCGTCGCCGCACCACTTTTTGGGCAAGCTCCATACCAGAAACCGGAGACTGTTTTTTTTTTGCCTAAGCCATCCTTTTTTTTATGTGCTAAGCAAAGTTTGTGCTGAGAAGCGCCGTGAAATTGGCCCCAGGTCATTGTTTTCTTGCGGGTAGTACACTAATAGGGACCATTATAGAAAAGTATGATACGCGTATTAGGGATACGTACGTACGCGGCTCGGGAAAAAAGTTGCTTGTTGCTTGTTTAATTTGTTTATTTAAATCACCATTTTGCGCGGTCATTTTATCTGGCAAACCATGGGCAATATGCATTTCAAATAATGTGAAGATGTGGATTTGGTGAAATTAGCACACAAAATGGTGATGTTTACCGGGTAGTTTTTCGATGCCATGCCCGCACCATTTCTAATGGACCTTTATACTCTCATACGCACGAGTAGTACAACAGTCTGGTGTAACTCGACGCTCCGATCACTTTGTTACGATATTAAATATATAAGGAAAGTGGTGATGACCATCGAGTGAAAGTAGCTCTACATGTATACTGAAAAGTGGCTTTGTGCTGCAAAACTGCCTTGCATGAAATTGCTGACTGCCTCCCAGGACGCAACATTATAGTTCACTCGAAATATTTCACTGCGAGCACTTTGATTTTAAGACACACAACTCTAATTAACTTGGGATAAGATGTCCACTTGTTGGTGAGCATTGATATATTACCTGGCAGGAAAAGAGATTTTTATTACGCCCCCGTTGGAAAAGGCGGGAAAAAAACAAAAAATTCTACAATGTTATGTTTCGGAATCGAGACGACCACGACATGGCTAAATAAAAGATAGTCATCGTTGGACTATATCCTAGGTGCTCACCTTCATTCTCTGGGGATAACCTTATATCCTTCTTTCATTCATATCCTAGCTAGCTTTGAAATCACGGCGCACCCACACTTCTATGCTTTGCTTTTCTTTCAGTGGCCAGCGGGCTGACTTCGTTGCTAAGCAATTGTGGTGCAAGCCTTCATTCGAAGTTTCCAACTTCCTTCACCAAGTGAGATCTTTGCATAATAGATACGCATCCTCTTTTTACTTCGCATTCAGCGTAACCGTCATTCCGGAAACAGATATCATGACACAGGTAGGCCTGCTCGGCATCTAGCTTTCGGAGAGAGAATTTTCATAAGAGTTGTGGATGAAGATGACACGTTAAACCCTTGGGCATGGTATACGGAAACCCCGGTTAGACCCCCAATTCTCAAAGATTTACCAACTGGTTCAAACCAGAATATCCGGAGTGTAGGAACTATAGTTCCAACAAACAGGTTGAGTGACCTCTCTGCTATCAGTTCTGCCGTAAAAGGGACTCCGATAAACGCATTTTTGGCGTATCTCCGCAGGTTTCGTCTTCCGTTTTAACGGCAGTCACTACGCACTAAAAAAATTCCTGACTTATCTTGCACAGCTCGATAAGGTGTGAGATGCGGACGCACATATTGCAGTTGAACAAAAACACGAACAATCTGAAAAGGGCAACAGACGAGTAGAGCAATTTCGTCGGAGTATCTGTAAAGACTTCTCGGTTTCAACCAAACAACTTCAACGTTTATCAACCGTAAGTACAAAATTGAATCTTCATCTCCACAACGAATGAAATTATTCTCATATACCTTTGTCTAGGGCACCTTAGCCCCCCCCCCCCCCGGTCAGGATGTCACATAAAAAAAACATATTACAATTTGAGGATTCAGGATGGTTAGGGTTAAGGCCAAAAAAAAAAGACTCCGGTTTCTGGTATGGAGCTTGCCCAAAAAGTGGTGCGGCAACGCGGCTTTTTTTTTTTAACCTGATTTTTTTTTGCTTCAAATGTCGGCTGACGACTGCAAATGGTGCCCGACTAAACTTAGTGCAAATATATGGGAGTCCAGAGAGGCCACATAAAGTTTATTCTCGACCATAACCCAATCTAAAAACACATTAAAATTGTGCAGCAGCAGGATTCCAGTCAAACCAGTGAGTTTGGCGGTTTTGAGACATCATCTTTCACTGAAAAAAAAAACTTTTTCATTTTGCCGACGCGCATGGCTACGGCGACGCGCTCACAAACCAGAAACCGGAGACTTGTTTGGCCTAAGCCAAAGTTTCATACGGTGCGACACACTTTTTGTTTGGTCTGTGACAACTTTAACTTTACGTCCTTAAAGTTCGTGAAGTTAAACATTCATATATTTGCAAGAGCTTGTGTTTTGGGTTAATGTCTTTTGATAAAATACGGTATTGCTCTGGCCGTTCAAATTTCTTCTTAAGGGCCATTTTTTTAGGGATGCTTTGAACTAAAAGTGTGATCTTTAAGAGTTGATGCAACCTTCTTTGGCAGCATTAGTTTACCCTCCAAAATATTTTATGTATGTCTGCAACACACTCTAGACTCCGTCATCGCAACAGCATTAATTGAGCTCATTCCGGACATGGACTGCGCCAGATCCCTCCTATGTCTGCTCCTGCTGCACTGCCTGATGACCACCATCCATTCTGCTGGCACCTGCAGAATGTCATTCCAAAGAATCGAGGTACAGAAGGACGTAGTGCTGGCCAGCGGCAAGGCAGCCGTCTGCTTCGGCACGCCAACGGCCTCCTCGTGCATCGGAGGGTGTCCGTCCTTTACTGCATCCTCCATCCATGAGCCAACAGGATTTACCAAGGTATTAAGGGGAGTTCTTCAAAGTAAGAATCGGGTTGAGGGAAACTATATACAAACGTAATTGTTGTGGCCTCGCAGGTAACCGTATTAAAGGTAGGCCTACCTGTTGGCAGCCGCATCAACAGCCGCAAGCTCCTCAAGGTTGGAAACAAATCCTCGCATGTCAATCACAAGTACGAGTCAACCACAAGTCGAACACAAGATACGCAGTTTCAAGTTCAGTAACGAGTGATTCATAAGTCGTTTCAAGAAAATCACAATTCAATTACACAGGTCATCCAGTCTCAAGGAATGGGACAAGCTATTCAGGTAAACTGTGATGCGTCCCTTTGTCATCTGTTTATTCCATGAAACAAGTGACAAGACGTAAGTCATCACTATGTCATTTCATCGTAAATCTATCCAAAGTCATAAGCCAATCACAATTTTTTATTTTGTTCATTCAATGTAAAGTGACAAGTCAATAACAAGTCATCACAAAGATCAAATGTCACCGCAAATCAATCAAAGGTAAAGCACAATCGCCCTATCTCAAGCCATTAGACAATTCAATAAAACATCAATTACGAGTAATCAGAAGATAATTACAGGTCATCACAAAACAATCACAAGCACTCCAGACTCAAGAATGACAATGACAAGGCAAGTCATTTTGTCCACTCCCTGTTTGCAATTGGACTTTTGATCGACATTTACGATGGACTCGATTGCAACTTGGTCGGTCTTGCTTGTCAAGCTGGCGTATACGGTATTGATGACAAACTTAAAAAAGAACCATCATGGACTAATGACGGCTTGCTTCAACATACTTATTAGACCACAGGTCAGATTTATCCAGCCATGATCTTTAAAACGTTTATTTGGAGATGTTTTGGTCTGTTGGAAGAAGGGCACAGAAACACAAACAGCTATAGGTGTGGAAGGGGTTTCGTCAGCCGGTGAAAAGATCTCATTTGCACACCAGTTTTCATCGGTTGCGATGAGTTTACCATTCAACACTCCAGACTCAAGAACCATTGAGTTTCAAGAAAATGGGTTTGGGAGCTATATTAGCCAATGTAAAAAAAAATCCGGGATATCTCGGCCCGTCTATAAGAAAAACGAGGTTGTGCACGTGTACGTAAACAAACTCATCAGATGTGAGCAGTCTGCGTGGGTTGTACATGTAGATTCCAATCAGAAATCGAAACGCAGATATTGATGATGGGTATTTCTTGTGCGGGAAAACACCTGGCTTAATTTGTTCCTTTTTATTCCCCCTCCTCATTTCGTATGCAGAAATGCACCTGTTGTCGCGAGACACAGATGATGTCACAGTCGGTCGTCCTTTCACCGTGCTTCGATCCCGAGGACGGCGAGTTGATTGAAGAAGATTTCATGGACGAATTTCAACAGCCGTCGGGTTGCGAGTGTGGACCGTGCACCCTGTGAACCGGTAACGACTGATTGATGCACACACTGATAACGTGGGATGGACGTGAAATATGGTGGTCCTTAGAGGACAACGCATTTATTTTTTCTTTATTGCATTGCGAAAACATATTATGTATTTTTTTTCAAGTAATCAAGAATTTCTTTATTTAGTAATGGGCAACAACTCAGGGCATCGAATTTAATTTTTTTAATCGTGACTTTGCAAATAATTAAAGACATTTGGCATTATAAATTCAATTTTCAAGTTCAGTTGCTAAAATTCAACCAACAAAATGTGATGCCCAGATGATGTTATTAATATTGTATGCCTTCTTCATAAGTAGGCCTACTGTAATACTTTCTTACAGTGTACGTTCCACTTAAACATTTTCAAAAGACTTTCCTTATTTTCTTTAGAGAGTTATAGGTACAAATTTCAAATGCCATCTCGTCCATTATTGGGCATTTCAAACATGTACTAATACGTTTGCATCTACATCTACTTCGCTTTAAGTTGCTGTCCATGGACCTTACTCACGAGGAAGCCAAGGAAGAAATGTATTTTATAAACTGTCAACTGTTGAATGGGATGGTGCCAGACTATTTATGCATTCTAGCCTCACTTTTAATTTTGTTTTTAAATGTGGCTTAAAACATTTGGGTACGTTTACATACATTTTAAATTAATAGAGCAGACTGGTATTAATTTGTAATGAACGATAAGTCATTGCTTTCATTTCTCTTCGCAGGTTCCAAAAATAAAGATGTTACCTCGCTTTCAATTTAACATGGCCAACTCGTGAATAAAGCCCAATGTTAAAAGCAGTGAAACAAAAAAATGTGGCTTTTGTTTCTATTTATTATTCAACACACTTGTACAACATATCAACTCAGTTAATTCAATAACCTATAGATGTTTTCAGGGTACGGCAGGTACCAGTTCTATGGACGACTTCATTCTAATGCCTTGTCAATAGCACCTTTGAAGGTATTATCACGGACAGGTGATATCTTTATCCCCATGGTAACTCAATCCATGCCTATCTCAAGCACATCAAAGATCAGGCGGCATTTTCATACAGGTCAACATTAGTTACCTGCAACACAACTTGGTGGGAAATAACGGCAATGTCACCGTATATAGTTCTTCATAACATAAATACTTAAAGGGAAAATACAACATTTGCAAACATCAAAAAATAAAACTACCAAGTTGTTACGAAATACCTTACTAGGATGTTGGTAAATGACATGCTAAAGCATCCTGTAAAATTATGGCACCTGGTGTGAAGCCCTTTTCAAGAAAATGGTATAATTGTATACATTTCCAACGCTGGCCGGCCGACCACCGTTGGAAAAACCTAACTATTTTTCAATTACTGCTCCAAATTTACCATTTTTTTTAGTCTAAATTTTGTTTAGCTAGCTATTGGTTCCATGTTCATGAACGGGTGCAGGCCAGCTAGACTGGTTCCCTTACCTTACAATTTTCCGGTATTTTTGATCCACTTCATCTTTAGTGGAGTCAGGGAACCAGACTACTTGAATTTTTTTGTTTTTCTTGGTTTTTCCAGCATTTTTGAACACAAAACGTCAAACATGTCAGTGCAACTATATTTGATCTATTATACTAACCCCCTGAATAGTTCATTTCTGAAAATTACAGCAAAAGCCAATGATGAACATTCCCTTTAACTATAAGTCTGAAATGGTTCCACTGAAGGGGTGCTCTGCTCTAAATTCAGTCTATACACCTGTAGGTGATGGAACAGAAATGCTGAATATTTCAGATAAAAACAAATAATAATACCGATAAAATCCAAATATTTTGGAAAATGGTCACCAAAAAATACATTTGTGAAAAAAACACAATTCCCCCCCCCCCCCAAAAAACTCACTCAATTCATTTGCTTAACCCATCTGTGGACTATTAACTTCTGGTTGCCAACAAAGTACGCAGAAACTTTGTCGGTCACACTATGAAGCGATATACATGCATCGTGGATAGTTACAACACCACGAAGTGATGTAACGTGTGCACAAAGTCCATTGACGATCAGTCACTTCGTGTTGCACCCTGTGATGTGGTCCTATTACACACACAAAATGAAGGCTTAAAAACTTATTCATGCAAATAACAATACCTACAGAGTACCAACGTGTGCCGCATATTCTGGTTCATGTCCATAGCTTAAGTGTGTGAAGACATCAGGGCGTGAACTAGCATGGGTGACTGCTCTATGTTCCAACACCCCTATGTTCCGACAACCTAGATTGTGTTACTCTCGGTTAGGGTTAGGGTTACGGTTAGGGTTAGGGTTAGGAATAGGAATATGTGCAGTCGGAACATAGAGGTGTAACCCTAGCATGTAGCATGTAAACCAAAACAAAGGACAGTTAACGTCAGACTTCAGTGCTCTGTAGTATAAGTAAGTCTGTCATGAGCCAATATGGCCCATCAGGCTGGCATTTATCTTCGGTTTCAGTGGCATGAAACGACTGAGAATATCTTTATTCCCCCTGGATGGGATGCCAGTCCATCTTGGTTACTGCACAGCTAATCCTTCTTTCTGGTCCCTTTTGGTGGGCACTGTTTTTTTCAGTGCTTATCAGAAGAAAACAAGTCAGGTGTGTTTACAAACACAAATGCCCCGCAACCGTGACTGTTCCCATGACATAACACCACTCTTTTAACATCAACTTACATGTACCTTGGTCACATGGAACATTCATTGACAGCATTAGTGTCTTCTGTAGGTTTTATATGAATTAATCCCTAATCCCTATAATCTCAGAATAAATACAAGATTTCTATTGTTTTAGCCACTGTGAACTTGACCCTTGACCGTTTGGCCCCAAATTCAATAGGCTTCTTAGGATTACCTAGAACAATCCACAAACCAAATTTGAAGTTCATATGTTAAGTATTTCTCAAGTTATCACACTGACAAGATTTCTATTGTTTTAGCCACTGTGAACTTGACCCTTGACCTTTTGGCCCCAAATGCAATAGGCTTCTTAGGATTGCCAAGAACAATCCACAAACCAAATTTGAAGTTCACATGTAAAGTATTTCTCAAGTTATCGCGCTGACAAGATTTCTATTGTTTTAGCCACTGTGAACTTGACCTTTGGCCTTTTGGCCCCAAATGCAAAAGGCTTCTTAGGATTGCCAAAAACAATCCACAAACCAAATTTGAAGTTCACATGTAAAGTATTTCTCAAGTTATCGCGCTGACAAGATTTCTATTGTTTTAGCCACTGTGAACTTGACCTTTGGCCTTTTGGCCCCAAATGCAAAAGGCTTCTTAGGATTACCAAGAACAATCCACAAACCAAATTTGAAGTTCATATGTTAAGTATTTCTCAAGTTATCGCGCTGACAAGATTTCTATTGTTTTAGCCACTGTGAACTTGACCTTTGGCCTTTTGGCCCCAAATGCAAAAGGCTTCTTAGGATTACCAAGAACAATCCACAAACCAAATTTGAAGTTCATATGTTAAGTATTTCTCAAGTTATCGCGCTGACACGATTTATCCGGACACACACACCCACCCACCCACCCACCGATACTTGTTTCACATGACTAGTGTGGACTTTCCATTGCTTTCGTGTAGTTAAGAAAAACCAGTGAAAAAACTCATTTTTCTCAAACTGTGAAAACTCTTTCAACCCAATTTTTTTTCTATGATTCCCTTTAGTGTTTCTCTTCATTCTGCTACAGATAAACCTAACCCAAAAATGCCTCTAAACCTGTTTTCCAGAAATGGGGAAACACTGTGTGGACGTGGGGCAAGTCCACACAACGTCGGTGCTACCTACATTATGTGGACGTCTTTTGTTCGGAAGTCCACACTGCGTATGTAAGACAAACTCACCCACCCACACACACACCCACCCACCCACCCACCCACGGAAGGACAAGGCGGAAACAGTATGCCCCTTCGGCTTCGCCGCGGGGCATAAAAACCTCCTGGGAGGAGAGAGGCAAGTGGGAGTGAAGTGGATTGTCCAAGGACACACAACATATGGCTGGGCGCTGGATTCGAACCCCTGACACTCTGATCATGAGTCACCAACCCTAACCATTATGCCAAACTCCCTTCCAATGCAAACATACATTCTGTGCCAAGCTGTCCTTTCAGTCAAAATCAATCAAGTGACTGTTTGCAATGGTCAAGAATTCCCAGCCTACATAAAGCAAGATCAACTGGCTGTGACTGTTTATGTAACTCGATACAGCTTTGCTTTGACTATGGGTAATTGATAAGCCAGCTGTGCCCACAATTTGCCCACTTTGTCTGTTCACTGTCTGTTGACTGAGTTTGACTAGTCACAGTGCTTGCTTGACATATGATCTGACTGCTGGTGACTAGCCTGTATTAAAAGTATAGCAGGGGAAGTGGATGGAAAGTTTGACTGTCTGTGACTGTTTAAATAGCAGGAGGGTTAACAAGACCTTTACATGCAGCACACTCAGCTAATAATACATCTATTACACCTTTCCTCCAGGCACAGACTGACAGATCTCTAAAAGAACGAACGGAACGTACTTTACCTCTATCACAAAACCCAGGTTCAGTGCTGGACGTCAATTGTTGATAGACTTAAATTAGTGCTTATTATTCAATTTATGATGAAGCAAATGATGCTTAATGATGATACATCATTCATGTGCCTAACACAATGTCACATGCATTTTGTGCAATATGCAGCCCAATACTAACTTCTGTGATTGAAAAAATAAATTCCAATCAATCCTGTAGATTGAAACAGATCATTTTGCCTAACAGAGTTTATTTACAATCACACCCTCAGCCCTGTTAATGAGTATCAACACAGGGCGCATTCCATGAAATCAAAATTGAGAATCAATTACACGTCATACATTATTGTAATCACTGTTGTCATTTGTCTTTAAGACCTGAAAAGAATTACTATTTCACGAATGATCAAATTTGAAATGATCTGCATCATTTACCATTCTTCTCCTGTGGGACTGCCACAGTAACACCAGACAATAAGTATCCTCTGAAGAAAGGTTGCCCACTTTAAACGGCATATTTCTTCTTTCCTTCATCGTTGATGATGCAGATGTGCTGTAGACCAAGAACAAATAAATTGGGGAAAAAGGTAATAATAATTAACACACATCAAGGTTGTTCAGTAGCATCTAGATCTATATCTTTCACAAATTTTGGTGCCAAATTTTAGTTTGGAATAGGAAATTAGGTACAGGTATATCTTCCTTTGCAAGTGGGCAATTCCAAGGTAACTTGCGTTACCCCCCCCCCCCCCCAATCCTATTTACACTCTCAGTGCAGCGGTCTTCACACTAGTTGGACTATCTATATTTTGTGCATAAACAAGCCCAATATTCATGGCTTCTCCCTGATGATAACAAAAAACGTTGTTTGTCTCTTTGGAAATGTGGTGACTCGCATTACACAAACAAGGACATGCCAACAATTGTCTTTCTGTTAATTCAGTAGATTCCTGCGAGTGAAACTGCAATAACCAAATTTGTATTTGTACAAGATATAAACCATATACCAAAGTATAAATGTGGACGATAAAAACTTAGGGAAAGATGATAGAAAGAAAAAGGCTGGTGGTTACTCGCAATACAGTTACTCACATTACAGTTTGTCCGCCAAAGTTAAAACATAATTAACCTTACAAAAATACTTGTGCGACATAAAATGTGAGTTTTTCTCTCTGCCTTAAAAGACAAAAAATAACACTGGCATTTTGCATGTAAAAACAAGGTGCCAAAATGACTGACAAACGATCCATAATTTTAGAAGCCCAAAATCATTTTGACCAAAAAAATACACCCCTAATCATATTCCATCTCACTGAGACACCACTCAAATGACATGTCTTGTCGTCCCATTTAATGTGGTACCCCATTTTATGTTGTCATACTTGTAGTTCTGAAGATTTCATAAATTTGCACTTTTTGGGCAGAATTGCCCATTTGTTTCTCTCCTTTCATTTTGTTTTTACGGTGAAGGAAAAGTTTGAGCTTAAACTGTGATGCATTGCCCTAGGAATAAGACGCTGCAAACACAAGAGGGGGCTCTTTAAAATTAGTGGAAAGGCAGATGTTGGCATTTATTGATTTCATTCTGCAGTATTTCAAAAAAAAAAATCAGATGAGCAATGCTTCTTGTTCTCCGAATGACAAAAGATGAAATGTTTTGCTGGTCCCAGAGGGCCAGCCTAGTGTCATCTTTGCACCTGACTGACTGACTGACTGACCGACTGGCAGCCATTTAGACCCCGTTCCCACTTGATCCACCAATTGGGGGATCTGATCCACCTTTTGCCAAATTGCCGGATCAGATCCCCCAATTGGTGGATCAGATCCGGCAATTGTGTGTAGTGGGAACGCTAACCGTTATAAGGTGGATCAGGATCAGATCCACCTTTTCTGATCCACCTCTGGACCAGGATAGAGATCCCCCAATTGGTGGATCAGATCCGGCAATTGCCGGATCACGATCAGATGGGAACGCAAAAGGTGGATCTGATCCGGCAATTTGACCTGTTAACATCCGCCCGGTGCACGAGTGGCGCGAAAATGTTGCGGTCTCATGAACGAAGAAACACGTTTTCAGGCGTGTAGCTCATGTGAACATTTCCAGCGTATACAACATGCACAATAAACAACCGCTGAACTACGGGCTAGCACCGCGCATGCAAAAGCGCACGTGGTATCCTAAAACTACACTATATAGGCCTTATTTTTGTTGCGTGTTCGTCCATTACTAAACCTTTTTCATTCCTGAAATTTTACTTATTTTTCCATCCATAAATGACTCTGAGTCCGCACTCACCAAAAGACTTCACTTTGGCACAGAATCATGGAAAAGCTTACGAGTATGCGATGAGAATAGTGCCGATAACGCGGTACGTACGGAGGTGACAAATCTGAAGTATTGATTATAGAAAATTGGAAAATGATGTCGTAGTACATCATGTGACCGTTTCTAACCAATGAGAAGCTTCAGAACCAGGGAATCCCTTATCGATGCATTGGTTTCTGCCGTGATGTCACACAATGAGCGGCTGTGTTGGATTTCACCTGTTAATTTATGCACGCACGGATCCTCTACGGATCCGTGATTTATGTTGGTGAATTTGGGTAATTTTTGTCGGTGAATTCTGATAGTGCTGTTTGAAAACTGACCCATCCTGGCCTAGCATGCAACCATGCAACAATGGCACTCCCACAGAGCGCGCGTAATTCCGAACTCAGTGACCTTTCGGACCCAACATTTCCGTACGAAAAGGTGGATCAAGCATAAGTGGGAACGCGACTTGCGGTTTCGTTGCGGTAAGATAACAATCACACCAAAATGCCGGATCTTGATCCACCTTTTTTCAATTCAAGTGGGAACGCGGTGTTAGAGCTAGACGTTGCGTTTGTATAGGATTACCCTGTAATGGGCTGAACAGTTTGTGTGGACCAGATGCATGAAAAGACTTCCAGTGAATAGCCATTGTGAACTAATGGAATAGAATTTTATGTGCTAAAGTGTGCATATTATATTACTCTGAAGTCATGATAACAACATCAGGCATCAAATTACAAGCAATACTAGTTGAAAAAGCCACCAACTTCTTCCACTTATAACTCTTGATAAAAAAAACCAATCAAATATGTTTGTATTTTAACGATCATTAATTGATAATCGTTTTTTGTATGTGCATGAAGTCACTTGATCTTTACTTCCGGGCATACGGAAAGGTCAAAGTTACAATGTAGATGAATTCAAAATACTAACATGAGCCCCAAATAAAACACCCAATATATCATCTAAATGGTTAATGGGATGATGATAAAACTTGGTACCAACTTGAACTCTGGTCCTAAGATGTGGCAAATTTTGTGACATCATCATGACATTATCAGATATATCACATTACAAGCTCTTTCAGTCACAATTTGAAAAAGTAGTTTGAACAGTAACTGTTCACATGAATGGAGTAATGCTCTCATTTTTTTCTGATCAGTTAGACATTGCGAAGGGTAATAATTTGGGTTTCCCAAGCACAAAGCCGTTTGACCTTTACTTCCGGTGTGACTGCAAGTGCAATAAGAATTTAATGTAACTTGAAAATGGAGGCATTTTATGACACTCAAACGAATTATAGAAATGTTTATGAAGGGATGCAAAACACAAAAACGGCAAGATGACGCCTCACCCAAAAGGGCACCCCCTAGCGGCTTTTTAACTGATTACTTGTACGTCATCTAACGTGTACGTGTAAACAAAATGTATACTGAATTTATCAAACCCAAAGGAACGCATAATTTTTCTTTATATTAAAACAAATGGATCCATTAGAAAAGGCTGAATTTCTTATTCTTTTTTTTTCTGTTCTGACATAAAAATAAAAACAAGAAACAACTTAGCTGGACAATTTCCCATGAAATAGCTGTCTGCCTGATCACCCAGCTTTTGTAACTCAACAAATGCAAATGTATAGTTTCACATTGTTTTCGTGTTTGTTAAAAAGAACTTATGATGCTACTTACACCTAAATCTCTGAAGTATTCGTTGTAGTCCAGTGCATAGCCAACAACAAACTTATCAGGAACTTCAAAACCAATGTCTGGAATTATGAAACACAGAAAATAGATCACTTTAATGTATTCATTTTTCAAGGAATATCAACTGAATGTTAAAAAAGGGCACATTTACACATGTGTATTTGTGCACAAGTTCTACAAGACTTTTAACATTAAAGCATACATTTTTGTTATGCTGAATAACCTTTTGAACTTCGTTCAACACAGTACTACTCTCCAAAACAAAAACCCCTTCATACATATGCACCATAGATAGCTTGCATTTAAAGCCCTATTCCATTTACTCAAATCAAAAGTCACAAAACTGAGAAATCATGTGATCCTCGTGGAACAAGCAGCATCTGGACAAAAAAAATATCACCAACCATGCTAAAGTCAGCTACAACATGACGCTGATTCCTCGGAATAGACATGATCATGAGATGTCTTCAAAATGGAGGTGCGGGTGTTGTCATAACTTCACACAGGTCTACTGTGATTGATTCAAACCTGTCGAGGAACACCTTCCGTCGCTGGGCAGAAGTTGAAATTTTTCTATCCTTACGGCTGTTGATTTGTTTTTAGCGCCGACTGATACCGATTGTATTAATATCGTCGCAGTTATACTCAGGTTGCAAAAAAGGGGGCGGGCGACTGATATGTTCCCAACAGTCGCAGCTGAGGTACAGCTTGATCATGAAAGTCAGTCGACTGTTCAGTGTCATCGCAAGGTTGACCTGAGGGCAGCTTATAGCCAGATCAACAATTGAAAGTTTCCTCTTGGTCCTGCTACAGTTGGTTTGTGTGAACCAAGTTTAAATTCATGAGGGGATTTAAATGCTCGGCAAGGTCTGGGTACAGTTGACCTAGGGTTTAAGAGCTCTGTGAAAGCCCTTCAGGCTAACCTCTTCAAATCGTTTGCTTTTCCTACTTACAGTCTGGCCTGTAGCCAACACTCCTTGGCGTCCTCTTCACCAGCAGACTGACAACCTTGACCCTAGCTGGCTTGTTATCTCCAATCACCTGTAGTAGTTTCTTCATGGTATTCCCTGTATCAACAATGTCCTAAGTACAAAAAAACCCACAAGTTACAAATGTTACAGACAACGATCTTGTGCATATTTAGCAGCCATATTTGAGGTGTTTTTAATACAGCAACACTAAATGCACATGAGAAGTACTCATATGTAGAGACTAGGGGTGTGCATCGACTGCTGTCAGTAACCGGTTCCAGCTTATCCATACCCAAGTTTACAAACTTCTCAGACAATGTAAAAGAAAAAGTTTGATTGCCATTTGTGAAAAATTATTTAAATGAAAACCGGCCTACTGAAACAGATTTCACGTTTATGTGCATTTTAAGGCACAACAGATGATGCTCGTTAAAACTTAACTTTAACCCACAAAGCTATAAAGCCCTTTAGATAATCTCCGGGATTTAAGTAAGATTTGAGGCTTTGCATGGTGGAGATAATAAATAATGAAAGGTTTGCGGAAACACCATGTGCGAATAATTTCTCAACTATGAGAATGGTTCTGAAAAGAACCTGAGGTATAAACTCGACGTTCCGGTCAGTATGCTCTGACCATCTTCAGGAGAATGGTCAGAGCATACTGACCGGAACGTCAAGTTTATACCTCCGGGATTTGAATTTTGGGGTTGGGTTTCTTTTACAGGTATCCAGATACATGTGATTTACTTCAATGGGGTACCCACTTCCCATACACCACTAGTAGAGACTGTACATGTATATTGCAGCTATCCTAGACGTTGTTCTATGTTTTCTTAATATAGTAGTAATGAAATCTGAATCCCTGCACAAAAGATTTGATCATAAATAAACATCATGACTACTATTTCATAAGATTTCTTTTTAATTAACGACACTGAAAAAACAAATCAGCATTAATTATCTTTACACTATTTCTGTGACGTTACACCATTGTTGAAAGTGAAGGTTATTTTTACGAATCTACACTTTACTGTAAATTATTTTATGAATCTACACCTAACTCGACTACCAAGATTGCGGGATCAGTTGGCTGGTTCCAATCTGATGTACATGAAGGTAAGACGTCTGCACTAGAAAGCAGGAGGTTGTGAGTTCGAGTCCCACCCGAGTGATTTTTTTTCAAACTTTCACTCGAGAGGTAACACATTGAGTATACAGTGTTTATATGTCAGTGAGGGGCAAAACCTTATATTGACTCAAATATTGCTTGCCAAAATTTCTAGTGGTTGGTGTTAAAACTCCTCAACTGTAAGATCACATCAATAGCATCTATAATTTTCGTAATCCAGTATAATCCCATAGCTGTGACATCTTTGTGAAGGAACGAAGAGAGTGTGTAACCACTGCACACCAATGATGGTCACTGTGTGTGACTTCATGTATTTCTGGGACAGATGTACTGTATCATGATGAATGGAACAAAAGATGCACACCCATCCGAAGGGTAACAATAGCATCATGTCTTGATGCAAGAACAGGGCCAGGAAACGCTGAATAGATTGTAAGAATCTACACTTATTCACAAATGTCGAGATTGTGGTAAACCACAAATCTTATTTGCGTAAACTTTTGTCGGTTCAAAAATTAGTTTAAGTTGGAGAATAGACTCGGGACTGTAGATTCATGCATGAAATTCGAACCCGGCTTCGCCTTGTCCATTCTAATAGCACGAATCTGTAATTCCTCGTGCATTCTCTTTAACTGAATATTATCTATAAGCTCACCTCAACAATGAGGACATCTTTGCCTTGAAGGTTCGAGAGACTGTCTCCACCAATGACTTTAATATCACCTGATGATTGGTCATTCTGGGGTATAATGAAATAAATTATAAGTTTAACAATATAATTATATTTGAGGGCCGCAAACCTGCTTGTGAGGAACTCGCTGGCTTACAGGGCAACAAGTTTGATTGCCTGAACATTAGCAAGGCTTTTGAAAAGTAGTTTTTATTTTCTTTCCAGTTTTGTCCACTTCTAAATTGAGGTTATCCTTTTTCAATCGCCATATATGGGAGTCAGGTTGGCGTTAGGGGAGTCAGGTTGGCGTAGCGGTACTTTCCTCGCCTTCCACCGCTGTGACCCGGGTTCGAATCCGGCCTGGGCCAATATGTGGATTGGGTTTTCAGCCCCTGCCTGATTCCGTGGGTTTTCCCCAGAATATTCTTCTGGGCTTTTCCTCCCGCCTCTAAAACTGTAACTTCTTCTCATTGTCTTCTCTTCACAGGTTTCTTCAGGCTTGCGAGCTACAGTGCCTAGGGCGCTTTTGAGGAATCCTTGGTTTCATTACCAGAAATGATTAATAATAATAATAATAATAATAATATCAGAAAATCTGCTTCACATTTCAATAGTATTTCACAATGGACATCCACTGAAAAATGGCAGAGAAAAAAAATCCCATAAAAACAGTTTGGCAACAAAATGCACAATAACAGTTCCAGCTGTGTATCTTGCCTTCTAGGAATATGTAAAATTTCCAATTGTTCAAGAGGGCTAAAATTACATTTTCAAAATAAGTTTGTACTTCCCGAAGTATCTTTGTTTTACCAGGAACCTTCGTGTATCTCCAAAATTGCAATACTGAGAGGTCACAACGTCATATCTCTGAAAACTTTTATTTTTAACCTTTTTACGGCCTAACCCTAAAGTTTTTATCGGGAAGTTAAAAAAATATATATACTATTGCCTACTCTGTCTTCCAAAACGCCCAACAACAACTTTTTTGCATCAAACATGCTTGTAACATTCCTGCTGTTACATTCCCTATTTTCAAAAAGAATTTGTTGAAATTCCCTTCGCAAGTCCGGTAATGAAAACACATGCATAATGCTTGCAATGCAATGCAGCATTGGTGTACTGGTTCCTGCCACACAGCACACTAAATGGGCCAAAGAAGACACGATGGAAAGGTGGCAACCAGTCTATGCATATGGCCAACATAACATACAGTAGGCCTAAATGTCAAATTTGACTTCGAAAAATGCCAAGTAAACATGGATGGAGAATGAAGATTTCTGAGACTTAATTCACAGAACTTGATCTCTTTTGTCTGTGTATGTATTTTCCATTTTCAAGAATTTATTTCGAGGTTGTACCACTCGTACTTGAAGCAATACAGTGCAGCGTGTTTCACCAAAACTTCCTGCCGCAGCAAGTGTTTCATTGCCTACTGCACAGTTCAGTCACGCATGCGCGATATACAGATGGTGTTGGCCAGTTTCCCATCATAACTAGTGATGTGCATAGTGGTGTGCATGACCCGAACTCTCCATTATTTTTTACATTAACCCTAACGGAACACAACCCATCAAAGTTCAACAGCAGGTTTTGTTTAAATCTGTTGGGATAGGTACAGTACCCCTAAACTGATGGTCTTTTACACTGGGGTTGGCATACCTCCAGAAACTAAGTCCAACAGTGTGTGTGTACAATTTCCCATGTGGGTGCTGGAGTTTGCCAGAATGGGTATGGTTCCTAGTAAATTAGGCTTGGGAGTTAGGGTTAATTAAGTTTTAAAAAAGTTTGTATCAATCTTTGTGGCTATTTTTTTTTATAGCTTCGTAGTGCAAATGGAAATAGTTCAGGCCAAAATTTGCATATAACCGAATGTCCCATTCAATCAGCATAAACAAATTGGGCCAAATTTCCAACCTAACCTACCCTGTTTTTGGAAGGCATGTAGTCGGAAGCAGAAATATATTTTTTGGGGCCTTAGGGTTAATACCACTTAAGCACAAACCTCATAGCTTTTCAGACGTATGAAGTCAACGATAAGCTGTATTGATCTCTCAGAGTTTCTGTTCAAGGCCTTGATGTAATCCAAAAGATCTGAGCAGAACTTGTAGCCTCCTTTCAAGACGCAGAGTACGACAAGCGAGTCTTCACCCATGTCCTTCACGATGTCTCGTGCCAGTCTCTCTGTCCTGATCATACAAATCCAGGTCAATTCAGGGGTAAAAACTTTTGGCATTTTAAACAAATTGATTGATGGAATTTTACAGATATATTATGTGATGTGACTAAAACTAAAAGAGAATGGTTCCGAATAAATAGACAAATAATGTTATGAGAAGAATCAGATTGTTCAACCAAGCTTCTCTTCTAGAGTCACCTCACATGATGTATCTGCAACTTCTCCCAAAATATGTTCTCCCACATGCAAAGCCTACAATTAACATGGGACCTGTTGGACCGACTTTGACCAACGGGATCTGAAGGTTACTGGAGAAGTGACTATTGTACTGCACACAGTACGGGATTCAATATTTGACTCTTGTAGAGTGCTGCCTTAGCGACCACACACAAATACAGACAGTGTAAGGTAAACCCTGCCAAGCACTAGAAGAAGGCCTAGATTCATTGAGTTTATTTAGGGGCCTACTCATTTGATTTTAAGTATGGAATCCTGTGCAACGCCCATAGGCCTCATTCACGAAGAAAACAATTTTCGATCGTGCTCCCTGAATATATTCTATAAATTGAAAACTGTTGAATGAGATGGTGCCAGACTATTTTATGATTGGAGTGCCTTTCAAGCCTCACTTTCCTTTTTTTTTTTAAATGTTGCTTAAACATTAGGGTACCAGTATGTTTAACACAAATTTTAAATCATTCATCAGAGCAGACTGGTATTAATTTGTAATTAACTTGGAGACATATTGCTTTCATTTCTACTCCCAAAATCCGAAAATGAAGAGTTTACCTCGCTTTCAATTCAATATGGGCGACCTATTAAAAAAGTCTATGGGTCCCTTCCCTACAAACCTCATTTCTGCTTCAAGTTCTTTGTTGTGGGACTCACCGATCTAGAATGATGCCATGTGGAATAAGAATGGATTCCAAATCCTGCTCGTAATGCCGAGGCACACAAAACATGTTCAGATTGTAGCCCTTGTCTTCATCTTCAATCTAAGCAACACGGAAGACAATAGACGAAAGAGTTTTAGCACAAGACAAGGCAAGCCTAGTAAAGCTGGTCACAAAGCACACACATTTCTATTCCATTGATTCAGAATGGCTTTTGACTGGAAGTCTACACAGTGGGCCGGATTTAGCCCATTCATTGGCGTAGGGGTAATCCTATACAATATCAATATCACTGCCAGAGTCTCAAATGACTGTCACTCAGTCAGTCAGTCAAATAGAGTCAGTTAGTCAGTGCATGGAGGTGGGAAACATGGTCAGTCGGGGAGTCAACCAGTCAGTCAGTGAGATACAAAGAGGATACCATGCTAAACATAAAGGCTGAATATGGTACCAAAACCATATTCTATGGGATATCCATGGTAACCACGGCAACCAATTTTAAAAATTGTCCTGTCACGAAATGTTTGACCTCAATATTTCACAAATATTATCTTGATATGGATTAGTACCTCTAGGGTGGGTTGAAATCCCTTAAATGTCAAACAAAATTGTGAAATTTACCAGAATTGCGTTCACCAGGATCATTGAAGTCTCGCACTCGGCCCTATGTCATCGTCTGCCGTCGACTGAGGGCGCTTTAATTCTCTTCCACAGCGCAGCTTTCATTTCATCGCATGAGGAACGGAGACACTCTCGAATGGCCAAGTTCGCGCAAGGACTATAGTTGACCAATGGTTAACTAACGTTTGCCCGAACTCTGTCTAGTCAACGGTGGTTGACTACGCTAGTCGACTATTTGGAACCAGCCTACTGGGGTTGGTTGCTTCGCTGGTAACCAATAGCCGCGCGCATTCATAACGCTAGCAGAGAGCCCGGATCCAGATGTTTTGCGATGACATTTTGACCAGCGTTTGACTAGAGACGTTCGCACGTTGCTATCAGTGCGCAGGCGCAAGGTACGTCACAAATCAACCACTAGTCGACTAATGGTCCTTGCCCGAACTTGGCCCATGCTGTAGTTGGTCAAGAGAATTAAAGCGCCCTCAGTCGATGGCAAACGATGACAGATGGCCGAGTGCGAGACTTGGTACGAGCATGTTTCCTACCTCCATGGTACGAGACTCCAATGATCCTGGTGAACGCAATTCTAGTAAATTTAACATTTTTGTTTGACATTTGAGGGATTTCAACCCACCCTAGAGGTACTAATCTACATCAAGATAACGCGCCTATCAATTGTTTCCCCCACTCTTCCCCCCCCCCCCCTCCTCGGGCTGCCCCACCCAAGACGTGGGGATTGTCACTTTTGAAGTGACAAAATCCCCACCCCTCGTGACAATCCCCGACCATGCCCCGACATACACACGTTAGGCGCACTAGTAAATGCATTTCCATGTAACATTCCTGCAATTTTTTTCCCCAGTAATTAAGACCTTACTTTAGTTAAGCATAGTCAGCATGGCCAATGTACTAGAGCTTGGCCTGGTAATAACCTCAAGATGGTGTTGATCCTGTGGTAATCACACAACCTTTTTAATGACGCAGAGGTCAACCAAGGGTCAAGTGATTCAATTATGCTAATAATTTGTAATGGACTACTTTGACCATGGCCTGACAAGCTGGGCTATAAAAGTAAGAATTGCACAATCCCACAGATGACACAAAACCTGTAGGCCTATGAGGATTAAAAGGTTTTTTCTCTGTAGGCCTTTATATAAAATATCTACATGTATTCATTTAGACTCTATTTTAACTTCTTTACTTGAAACATTAGTTTGCAGGAAGTCATCTTTGATTCGTCGGGCGAACTGGCATCCCTGGCATTATAAAAAACTTAAAGAAGGCCAGCTCAGTTGGACTATCTCGGTACAGTGGAGTTGTGAGTACTATGGCATCGATCCCAACTATAGTTGGGACCGTCCGGATGCGTCCCAACTGTAGTGCGACAGTTGGGTCAGCCCAACTGTAGCTAGAACGCCCGCCGTGTGGTGCTGGATGAATTGGCCAACATCAACAGAGCCAGCTGTTGGGAATGTTTTATGGTTGTACCACAGCAAGTGTACCCACTATGGCCCCCACCCACAGCTAATTTCAATGGTCCCCAGTAAAGTTTAACATTTATCAGAGCTGTAGAGAATGTTTTATAGTCGCACAGTAACGTAAATTATAATTTGGACCGCAACATAAAAAAGATTGGAGTGGCCCAACGGATGTTGAGACAACTCGACTCGGGACAAGTCGACCGTTGAGACAACTCGACCGTTGAGACAAGTCGACCGTTGAGACAAGTCGACCGTTAAGACAACTCGACTCCGGACAACTCGACCGTTGAGACAGCTCCACTTAATGGAAATGTATACACGTGGAGCGGAAAAAGTTGCATAAATCTGTGGGCGCTCTGATTCAGTGGCCGTCACGTCGGACCGGCGCGCCCCGCCCACGAGGACCGGGCCCGGCCCAGCACGCGGCACGTCGACCGGCGCGGCAAGTGGGCGCACAGGCCCGGCACAAACGATGTCACCGTGCACGGAACGGCCACGTTGACCGGGGATGCGCGCACAAGCCCGGCAAAAACAAACGATGTGCACGGACAATCACGCTGCGCTATATCGGTTCTGTTATATGCAACCAAAAAAACTCATGTATCATAACTCATGTATCAAATCCCCAAAACTAGGCCCAAAAACATGCGAGTCGACTTGTCTCAACGGTCGACTTGTCTTTCAATTATCGCACATACTGTCGAGTTGTCTCAACGGTCGAGTTGTCTTAACGGTCGACTTGTCCCGAGTCGAGTTGTCTCAACGGTCGACTTGTCTGACCCCCGGCCCAACTATAGATGGGCCCCACCCATAGCTAACTTCAATGGTCCCAAGTAACTAACAGAGCTGTTTGGAAAATTGGAATGTTCTATAGTCGTACAGCAACGTAATTAGTTCGGACCGCAAATAGAAAAATTGTAGTGGCCCAACTATAGATGGGCCTCTGGTCCCAAGTAAAAGTCAGACTAACAGAGCTGTTGGGAATGTTTTATAGTCGTACTATAGTTCGGACCGCAAAATAAAAAGATTGTCATGATTGTAGTGGCCCAACTATAGATGGGCCCCACCCGTAGCAAATTTCAATAGTTGGAATGATCCCAACTATAGTTGGGACCAATACCATAGTTGGGGCGTAACAGTGATAAGCCCCCCCCCCCCCTCCCCCCTCCCTATAGCATAGCAGGTATCTATTCTCACTGGGGATTTTGCAAAACCGTAACAAAATTAACGGCTACCGTGCGTGATCTTTCGATGTTTAGTACAGCCTACAGGCAAAATTAAATATCGTTTACTGAAACTTGTCTTTAGTGAAAGAAAGCCGGCTGAACTAGCTGGCTAAAATACCCTTCCTATGATTAACATTGAATCGGTTTAGGCCTAGCGCCGCTAAACCAGCAAGTAATAGTATGAAGTAACATTCTATTAAGCCTACCTTTATAAAATCTCCCATGGTCGCAGGTTTTCAGGTCAGAAAATGACTGCAGATTACTTGCCACACGTGCGATCGCGGGTTGCGACAACGTCGGCGGGCAGCGTGACAATCTCAATCTGTCAAAATAATTGACCTTTGTGATTGTGATCTTATCTGACCATGCAGAGAGCGCGTGTCCAACTTGTTGTGTCTTGTAAGTTGTATATGTAAATTGTGCAAACGTGTACTAAAACAGCTGGCTATGCGCATGGACAAAGGACTTTCAAAGCATGCAGATGTCACGTCAAAGACTACGCAGCGCGGGAGATTTTTCCCGCAACTATATCACCCTGGTACAGAACTCATCCATCAATGGAGGTCGCTGCGGGTCCCCTACTCCTGTTGCATGAAGTTTTTGCAATAGACGTCTAGGATTCTGCCTGCATTATCAACGCAACCGTCTCTCCTTAAACGTATCACATAAAAGGAGCTCAAGGCGGAGCTAAATATTTTCTTTTAAAGGGGGAACATGGGCCACATTATCAAAGCACGGTGTTGTAGTCCAGTCACAAGTCCTTTCATAAAGTCCAGTCACAAGTAACGGAATGAACAATGACAAAGGAATGCTTTTGTAATACATGTAGTTCACTTGAATAGCTAGCTAGTGACTTGACTTGCGAGACTGAAGGACCATGGAGCTATAAACACAAATAAAGACCCGTTCAATTAGTTAAAACTGAGTTGCTCCAACTTAAGCTTTCTAGCAATGGTCTTTATCACAAAGTGCCCCGATTTTATTTTTTGACAATACATGTATATGCATTATTATTTCACTCCATTAGATGTGCGCACTCACAGGAAACCATGAACACAAAATCGGACAGAGAAAGCGCCACTACATTTATTTGGCGGTATTCACTGGAAATTAAACATATAACGACTCTCTCCTGATGACGGTCAGAGCATACTGACTGGAACGTCTAGTTTATACCTCTGGTTCTTTTCAGAACCATTCTCTTAGTTGAGAAAATATTCGCACATGTGGTGTTTCCGCAAACCTTCCTTCTTTAGTATCTCCACCATTCAAAGCCTCAAATCTAAAAAGACATCTAAGACCATTTTCGTTTCATTTTTTTTCTTCTGTACGATATTCCCCTCCCAAAACCATGGAGGAAGGCCCAAACCACTCTTAAAACGGTTGCCAGTCCCTGGTGCAGTAACTAGCATGACTAGGCAGATGCAGATGCAGCCCCGCCCCCCAATCCACATGTTAAATAGATCCAGACGGTGGGGGGGGGGGGGGGGGGGGGGGGGGGGGGGGGGGGGGGGGGGAGGGGGGGGGGTTGAACGAAATCTCCAGAGAGTGGAAACCACAAGTCCCAAACGCTTGATCTCCAGATCAAGCATTTGGCCGCAAGGACCTCGTATAGAAATAGGCCACAAATATAGAAAATTCTCTGAAGGATCACAAAATATTTCAATGCCAGCTTGCGCACAGGAAGATTGGAGTACATGTACATCCATACTATTTTCTAGTATTTTTCACAGAATGTCTCCCCTTCGGATAGTGCAATGAGAGACTTTTGAGAGTTTGGTGGCAGCAAACACATCAGTCCATTTCATTTGTTACGTCATGTTAATTAAGCTAATGTGCACATGTTCAAAATGACATTAGCAATTGAAAAAGGGCCAGTCCTGGTAAGTGTGTTTGCTGAGCACTACATGTATTACATGCATTACTCATCCCCATACAAAAAACTGCGCAACTTTGAATGTACTTGATACAGAGACACTTTATTAACAATGGAAAATTCATATTTACAAACTTCAATTTAATTCTTACAATGTATTTACAAAATGTGCACCTATTAAAATGGAATTCAGATACAACAAACACAATGGGACGGATGGATATGAAATGCTCGAGGAAGTCATTATGAACATATTTTTGGACTACATGTACAGTGTACACGTACATGTACATTTTCATCATCAGTTTTATTTGGAAGAAAATCAGTTGTTATAATTAAAAATAAGAAATTGTATGAGATAATCCTCAATATTTGTTAAAAAAACATACTCAAGTCACACTGTCGGTCTGGCAAAATGTTCAAGTTTAGGATGGATAACCCATGTACATGTGTTATAGTGCATGTGTCAAGCTATATTGTTACAGGCACCATTTTCTTGACAGATGTGAATGGAAAATGTGAAAGTAAAACCTGTCGTTCTCCAGAATGCCGCATATGACCACATGACCTGGTACTGATGGTGGATCTGATGCATGTATAACGACTATTGGAAGTACAAATGTAGTTCATTTTATTAAAATCACGATATTCTCCCTCGGTGAATGCATGTACCAAGTGTAATTCTGTAAAAGAAAAATTACCAGCTATTTTGCAGTGACAAGTTAACGAAAATCACGTGACATAATACTAAAAATCTAGCACCCTTCCACACTCGGGAAAAAGAAAATGGGTACAGGCCCAGCCTATAGGTAACTGCTATACAAATGGTGCAGTGTAAGTTGCAGTTCCACTTCTCAACAAAGGCCTTGGAACTGAACTTTCACATACAACCATGACAGCTGTCCTGAGCCAAACTGGGCACATCATGACAAAAGGCAAACTTCCACAAATCTGTCAAGTTCTTTGGCTGTTCCCGAATGTGAAAGGGAATCCTATTTCCTCAGCGAATTCCAAGTACCAATTCTACCATTTCAAAAATCTTGGCAGGGAATAAACAGTCAAAGCAATAAAAACAGAGTTCTAGTTGTTGGCTATGTAGATGATCTTGTGTTTTTCCAACAGCTCAATGTCTCTCTCTAGCTGCTTCATTTCTGCCTCCATTCGTTCCTTGCGTGCCTTCTTGGGGGCGGTATCTGTTACAACAGACAACCCCTGGTATTGATGGTGGATCTCCTCCCAGTTCTTCTTAAGCCCATTCAGGACCGCCTGCCGTTCACCTTCCGTCAGATGCTTCATGGCTCCCCGCCGGTAGTGCTCCTTGATGTACTCATCGTATTCCTCTTGGGCCCTCTTAACCTCCCCATTCCGTTTGCGCAAGTAGTCTGGTACATCTCCATAGCCCTATCAATACAAAGATACGTGCAATGCTGTTAGAAATATATACACGTATTGACTCACAAAGTGATAGCATGGTAGGGGTTCCAAAGAGTACAGAAATAAAAATTAAGCATGATTGTCACTTGTCAGTTTTTCTCTGTTTTAAGAGTACATAATATAAATGTTAGTGTCATTTAAATGCTTCCTTTTAATTTCATTGCATTTATCTTAATAATTTGTTTGTTTCTTGTAAAAATGTAAACATGCCTGAAAGCAATTTTCATCAATCAACTACAATTGCAATTTTGATAAAATGCGAGTTTCAGATGTTGGGAGAAAATTCTGAAGAAAAGTTGGGAACTGGGACATCTTTGGGATAGTCGATAACACTTGCTATTGAAATTTACAATACAATTCCAACCACAGGTGAGATTCTAAGACTTTGAAGGCCTACTGATGCAATTACAAAATGAACTAAAGGAACCCACCTTCTTATTCAGATATTTTGGCACCAGCCCTGATGGTTCAAGAGGGTGTGTTGATCCTTTAGCTGTGTCCACAAAGTTGGCTGCTGGCTTCTTTGGCACAGACATGATATTCTCCACGGCATTGGTGGTAATGAAATTCTTGTTGGACTTGAGCCCCATCAGGGGCCTGTCCTCCTTCTTGGGAACCATCGGTTTGCGCTTGTCCTCATCTGGGTATTTAAATGAGGTTTTCTCTGGCAGGACGGGTTCCTTGGAACGCTTAGAGAGGTAATCCTTGGGTGCATTGAGGTCCACCTTGGCTGGACCCATTGTCTTGTTTGGTGATTTGTTGGTCTGTTTCTCCTCTTTCACGGTTGAGCGGAACTTTGACTGGTATCTGTTTTGGATGAATACAAAGAAATAGCTTGGCAATAAAATCACCATTTGATACTCGAAACAAATTTCAGAAAACTAAATTTGAACTTGGGTCAGCTTGAACTTTGAAAGATTTATTTCATAACTTTACCTTGTTTGATTTTGTCACAAAATTCAAACTAACTGACAAAACATACATCAAATTTTAACACACAGATTTTAACACTTACAGCAAGAAACAAAAGGAAGTAGAAAAAGAAAAGAAAGCAAAATAGGCCTAGGCCTATAATAATACTTGTTCAAATTATCGTTTACTCGATAATCGTATTTTAATCGCAACATTATTCATTAATGGTAGACCTAACCACGGAGCTATCATGGCTATAAAAGTATAAGACCTAACTAACTCATTTAGTTTTGCAAATAATCATGATGAAATAAAATGTTTGACGTCATGATTGATAAATAAATTCCCGTTTCTGACAGTGACTGTTGACAACAAAGTGGCGTCTGAAAACTGCATTCTTTTCAATTTCAGACTATCTACTCATATTAGATAACAATATAATGATAACTTTATCATAATATTATTCTCGTCAGACGACAACCGACTCGGAGCATGGAGAAATGTGTTGTATTTCTCCATGCTCGGAGCAACTGCCAGGCCACACACACCGTATCGGGACCCAAGAGGGGCTGGATACCGCGGGCAGGCGGGGGAATAGCGACCCAGGCCTGGCGGCGTAAACACGTCCCGGTGAAAATCATGCAGGACTTCGAAACAAACTTTCTTACCGTTGTTCTTTCGGAGGTTTCACCTCTTCGCGGGGGATGAGATTGTAAATGCTCTCGGACATAACATGAGTTGCCATCTTGATATCTGCGCAGTAGTTCTCCAAGATTAATCGGTGAAAATATGATGTTTTAACAACCCAAGACAAGAGTTTACGCAGAGTGACTAGTGGTAGTGCGCCCGGTGATACTGTGTGTTGAATGTGAGTGCTGTATGTAAAATACGCACGTTTCCAATGAATCAAAACATTGCGTAGCTGTCGTCGCTAAGGACGATTGCGCAGGCGCGAAATTCTCTTTAAAATAAAATTTGTTTCTGGTACTTCAATTATTATGTTCGGACATTTCCTATTTGTAATCAAATTCTATAAATACACAGAACAAACAAATGACACCTGAAATTATTTTGGAAAGGGAGCCTAATTTGCATAAGTCGTAAATAGCCACCATTTAATATATTTATTTATTTATTTATCCCATTTTTGAGACATATGTCCAGAAAAAAATATGCCAAAGTTGTATTAACTCATACCCTGAATTTATTGCTTATTCTATATTGTTTAAAGTATATTTTGGGGATTCCACTTACTTATCCTTAATAACATAACATTTTCTAAAGCATGTTAGTGACCAGATAATTATGAGGACATGAATTAAAGATCCAAAATGGCTACATGTACCATTTTTCGCCGGCCCTAAAGTTGTGCGCATTTACCTTTTTCCCAGATATCATCATCAAGTGCATGTAGTCTTGCCAAACCTCAGTACTGATGAGCTTAAAATTCACGAAGTCACTTTAGTTACACTAATGAAACTATGTGGAATATCATGTGAATAATGATATCATCTTGATATTTAGCCCAGGAAACAAAAAAGGGGAAAGGGAGGTGTCCGTAAATTGGGCTAAACATTGGGCGATTTGAACAATTTCAAAGAAATCCCCAAAATAAGAGATTATGGTTATTTATAATAATCACGTCACAAAAGTTTTCTTACAGGTATATTTGTGGATTTCCTTGAACTTAATTGTTCAAGTCTCACACGTTAGGCCAAAAAAAAAAAGTCTCCGGTTTCTGGTATGGAGCTTGCCCAAAAAGTGGTGCGTGACGCGGCTTTTTTTTTTTTTACCTGTCTTTTTTGCTTCAACTGTCGGCTGATGCCGCAAATGGTGCCCGACTAAACTTAGTGCAAATGTATGGGAGTCCGGAGAGGCCACATAAAACTTATTCTCGATCATAACCCCATCTAAAAACACGTTCAAATTGTGCAGCAGCAGGATTCCAGTCAAACCAGTGAGTTTGGTGGTTTTGAGACATCATCTTTCATTGAAAAAAAAAGTTTTTCATTTTGCCGACGCGCATGGCTACGGCGACGCGCGCGCATACCAGAAACCGGAGACTTATGTTTTTTTGGCCTTAAGCCACCCTAGTAGTTTTTAACCCAAATTACGGACACCCAATTTTTTTCGGGCCCTTTTTAAGCTCTCAACAGACCTTCTACAAGTCACATCGGGTGTCGGTCGTTCGGTCGGTCGGTCCCCCCCCCCTACCGCAAAAAAACCCCAACAATTGACCAAAAAACGAACCCCCTAACTCACCCATAAAACTGTAGACCCTAAGTACCAACTGTCCACAAAAAGCAAGCTAAATTAATACATTAAATACTTGACAAAACTTGTTTGTATAAGAATTCGTGACATTGTTTATGCTTTTTTTTTTTTGAATAGCAAGATAATGTGTGGTAATGTTATAGTCACGTGGTCATTATTAGAAAGTTAGGGGCTTCTTCACATCTGACACTATACATCACCCCCGCCTCTCTGGCCCTGTGTTAGTTTTATGAGTCTCCAGGGCTTGGAGTGAGGATACAGTTGCATTATGAAGGTCTCTTTTATTTTGCATTTATGGTGACTTTCATTTCATGCAAGACTTTCATGCAAGATGGCCAGCGAGAGCTTATTCAGTGTGCGGTTGCACTTAATTGTTTGTTTTCTTGGCTAACTTGCCGAGCAGAAATGTGTGTGCATTTGTATGCAAATGTGAACGCCTTGCACCAAGACTATACTATAGCGTCTCGAGCCAAGACTAGATTTCTACGAGTATCACAGGTTTACGAAATCTTTCTTTCGTTTCCATTTTGCCTTCAGGCACCCGCTCCATAACTGTAGTCTCTTGATACGAAATACTTTAGTACAATATTTATCAATTGTCTGCAGAACAGACACTGAATGTTGTCGCACAAGACCAATGGTTGATGTATTTTCCTACGATCTGTACGTTGTAGGATTAGGCGTATTAATCTTAGTTAGACTACACACGTGGACAAAGCCGAAAACGAAGTACACGTAAGATTTCGTAAACCTCTTTTGTCTGATTCCCAGACGAAAAGATTCTGATTAGTACTATCAGGTAAGGGAACCAGACTATAAAGGATCGAGTTATAAAAGTGGCCGTGCGCGTGTTTTGCAGGGTGACCGTTTTAGCCGATTTTCGGCTAACTTTGACAGAATTTTTGTAAAAAAAACCGAGTCAGACAGAAAATTTGACAGAATGGATTTTTTTGGGCAGATTTATGGCAGAATTCTGCAAAAATGGTTATTTGACAGAAAAACAGCAATTAAAGTTCAACAAAAAGTGTACAATTGTTTAAAAAAAGCTTCAATCCTTTCAAACAAACCCTTGCATAATGGGATGTACAATTTGGCTGGTCTAGGTGCTGAGGTTCACTGGGAAACAGACTTCGTCGTGGCCGGATCCACGTTTTGCCCGAAATTTACAAATAATATTTCACAACAGCTTTATTATTATTATTATTATTATTATTTATTCGGCCAAAACATTCAAAATACAAACATGTACATGTACATACAATGTAAGATACGTCAAGGACAGTCAAGATGAAAGATAAATTGTGTAACAAATACCAATCAAAAAGAATAGATGTGTATATGTAACTAGATTGTTTATTATGTAATTTGAATCTTAATTAAGGCAATTCTACCAATCTGCGTGGGATTTTTAAGTGTTTATAGTGTATTTCGAGTAATTCTGAAGAATTTGGCAGATTTTTGATAAATCTGACAGATTTTTGATGCGCATTTAGCAGAATTTGGCTCTGACCTTACGGTCTCCCTGGCGTTATGTAATAAACACGCTTTATCAGCTAGCTGGCCGCGTCAACAGCAAAGTCATTTGTGTAGGTCATGTAGCTAGAGGCTGTGCTGAACCGTTAGAGAATCTACCTCTTCCAGAGGAAATGGGAACGATGTTTTCCAGCTTGAGACCCACGATGCATATCCTTGCAAGAAGTGCTGTTGTTGACTTCGGCATTCAGTGGGGACTCTTCATTATTGCAGCTGCACTCAAAACAGAAAAGTTTTATGATTTAGCAGGTAGCTAGCTACGCTACTCGCTAGCCATCATCATTAGCCCCACTTGTGTGGCCTCGGTATTGCTGCGTTGTATCGTCAGGCCACACGTCTGGTTTCCCAACCTTTTGAGGAGTTCAGTCCGAAACTTGCGCATGTGGATTCCAGAATTCAGAAAGATGTCTAAATTTCTCGAAAAATCTGAAGAAAGATTACCTAATCTACCCGGACTCCGAGGGCAAAAGATGAGAAATCATTACAATACAACCATATACAGTCATTTGACAGTGGTATGTTAAAAAAAAAAGCCAAAACAAGGGTGCTCCATGCCAGTGTTTGGACTAAACTCCTCAGTGATTTGGAAAACCAGACGTGCGGCCTGTACATGGAGCTATAAAACATGTTTCATATAGCTCCATGGTTATTATACTAAATCTCCATGGCCTAACGTACAGCGCAGCAATACGGAGGCCACACAAGTGGGGCTAGCTAGCCATAGACTATGGCCCGCACTGGACTCTGGAGTAGAGTTTACTCCAGTGCGGGCCGGCCATAGACTAGGGCTAATATTATTCCACTAAATGTACCATTAAGGAGACATGTTATCGTAATTTCTTCAAACGGTGGGAGACATCGGTCATTAGGGAGACATTTTTATATCTTCCTAATGTCACAGCCCCCCTTTAGAGGCAAAATGTTATTGTTGCAATTAGGTTATGTATTTGTTGCTTCTGGTCTAATTAGTAAACATACCGAAATTCGTGGAATCTAATCATCTAATCAAAACGAAGATGGAAACTTTTGTTCGCACAAAAGTTGGAGCATACAAAACATCTTAAGTAGACAAATTAACTTGGGTGCTAGAACTGCTTTTTTTATTTTTGTCATTGGTTGGTCGTGACTAGTACGACCGACCAAAGACAAAAATTGAAAAAAGAGTTCTATCGCCCTAATTAATGGGTCTAATCTTTAACCACGGTTCCGTAAAAGATTGCAATTTTGCATTTACCTCGAAACAAGAACTTTTGATTTTGTTGGGCCCCGCAATAATTTTGCATGTGTGTGGTGAACTGGTTATCTCTCTAAATCACATGGATTCACTCTCAGGTGCAAAATATCAAAGAAAAGTCTCCTTTAAAAATTGAATTGAGACTTCAAACTTGGTTGGTGAAATACTGAGGAATTGTCTTTGCCTATAAACTTTTTGAGACTTTGTCAGCTAAAGAGTGAGTAAAGTTGGCCTAAATTACTTTTGCATGTTTTTCTGCACTCAAGTTCCCAGTCTGGCATTTCCCCATATAGTGCAGTGGGGCTCAGTATATTTAGAGGCTCTCTGGGTACCGTTATGGGGCTAAACCAATGAATGAGTTATCTTGGGAAACACCAGCTAATGCTCATCAGAAATGTTCCAATTAGGTGAATTTTCAATGAGCAATGAACATTGCCATTAAAGCTCAGGTGGGATTTCCCAAACTAGCCTGTGATTCACTAAACATTGGGTAGAACACAGTACCATGAGGCCACATTTTGGATGTTATAAATAACCTCAGTGATGGTCATGACAGTTATATCAAATTTTTCTTGAAAAAAGTGGAATTTGGTACTTAGCCAAAACACTTCCAGTAGACTAGTGTACAACCACAAAATTATCTTCAAGACATTGTCGTGAGTACTTTCTTTTCCTTACATTTTGCTTAAACACAAGGATAAAACACTTGTCAATCATTTTTCCAGGGAGCGGCACATTTCTTCTCCTGACCTACCTGTCCTTGAAATGGGGAGAAACATTCCACTTCCGTCAGATGGTTCAGAGCGGAATGGTTGGAGTCTGGGGTCTCAGGTATGTTCTTTATTCACACCAAGGAGGTATTGCAGTTTGACTCCGATGCATATATCTCTAATACCCTTCTGTTTTTCTATCAGGCCAAAAAAACAGCAATACTTCTGCTTCCGATTACATGGCATTCGAAAATAGGGTATGTAGGTAGGGAATTTTTGTTTTTTGCCAATTTTTTGTGTGTACGATCATATGGAGGGGTTTGCGTGTAATCAAGGGTAAAAGGTAGAAATTGATGGTTTTTGGAATTTCTTTCTCATTTTTCCCATGTAAAAATTAGGGTAGGGCCTGTCACAATAGGGTAGGTAGGGAGACTGGAAGCAGAACTGTTTTCTTTGGCCTAAGCACACTTAATGCAAATGAATGGGTTGAAGTCCATTAGGGATCAAGGGCCACACTAGGGGAGTGGAGCGGCCGCTGTAAACATCTGGCAAATTTGTCCAGTCAGCAAGAGCATAAGCAAATATTCCGCAATGAAAGTGCCACCTCTATTCCAATAAATAATGTCCAAGATTGTCTGCTTTGAACAGTGTCTCCATTAGTCCAATGTTATTCTACTCCCCCCACCCCACCCCCTCTGTGCCCCTTTCCTCCCCCATTTCCACCCCTCATTCCTTTACTAAACCCAATATAATCCAACAGGCTAAACAAAAGTCTGTTTGATTCTCAATCTGACCAAAGAAATCCAACAGAATTTGCCTGACCGCAAAATACGAAGAGGATAAACTGTTCAAAGCATTTAGAAGTTACAGAAGCTGATAATGAAAAAAGCAACATAAAAATAAAGTAAGCTGTTGCTTCATTATCCACCTGAAGTTACATGTACGATACCATCTCCAAATCCTTGACCTTAGACTTAAGTTTTATGTTTCGTGCTAATTCTTTTCTGTCTTGTAGACTCGGCATGTATCTGTTCAGTCGGGTATTGAGTGAAGGAGAGGACCGTCGCTTCAGACACGCCAAGAATAACTTGGGTCTCTTCTTCATTTACTGGACAGTGCAAGGTGAGAATATGAACAAGTAATCATCCCCATGCAGGAACAGTAAATGGCACGCTTTGTTACAACACACAAATGCTTGAATGAGAGGGACTCATTGCCCGCACACACTGATTTCTTATTAGTGCAAACTACTGTGTCTAATTAGTGCACAAACTTGTAGTGTTGTCATGCTGTAGCACCAGGCACCGTCAGCTATGCGTTCAAAAGTCGTCGTCCCCCCCCCCCCCCCCCCCCCCCCCCCCCACCAGTGGTCTGCCACAACTTCCTGTTTTCAGCTGTTGAGTGGGAACATGTGCACGGAGTCCATAGACTCCTATGATTGAACAATTCATTTCAAAGAGAAAGGCAAATGAAGCACTCGGTTCCCCCCCTTTCATACAAGCTGGCCCTCCTTTTAACTTCTGTCCTCAAGCCCCCACCAAGTACTCCTGTCTAAAAAGAAGAAATAATGATAATGAATATTTCATTTCTATGTGTAGAAGTACAAAGACTTCAAAACTGTGTGATTTTAAATACTTCCCTTGAAGTTACTGAAAAATCTCTGTTGTTAAACATATCGATTATGTACAAGTTATTATGTTGTGGTCATATTTTCAATATGCTGATGGAGCAAGTGCATGGTTCTTGTTATTGGGCAAATTGTAGCCTTTGAACTTAAGGTTTAAATATTGAACGGTGCAAGCAAAGCAAAGCTGGTCCCAGGCCAAGATGATCTAAAGGCCAATTTACGCTTTTATTAATACACACAAATGAACGAGACATCAGGCGCACAACTCAGTCGTGTAAATCTGAACATGTTCATTGAATTGTGCATACTTTGAAAGATTCCCAACATTGTCGCTTGACAAAGTCGCGTATGTGTAAATGGGCTTTAAGGGGTCTAGATGTCATCGGAGTCAATGTTTTCAGGCCAAGGTGAGGCTAAATTAAGCAAGTCAAATTCACAAGTGACGGTGAGTCAGTCAGTGAGACAGTTACGAACAAGGACACTAGGCAGGCCTGGATAAAAAAGTTTACCAAAAAATACAATTCAAGGGATAACGGTGTGTGATGAATTTGAGTGCTTATTTAAACCTCAGTTTCTCTTTTGGTAAAGCTGTATGGGTGTGGGTGACACTACTCCCCACCCAGATCCTCAATGCCGAGAAGAATGACAGACCCCTGACCAAGAGGGACTACGTGGGGTGGGGACTGTTTGTTGTGGGGTTCCTCCTAGAGATTGTAGCAGACTACCAGAAAGCAGCATTCAGGGCTAACCCTGACAATGTGGTACGTGTGCATATTTGTGTGTTGTCCGTTGTGCATTTGATCATAATATCAAGCATGCAATTTTTTCTCGGATCAGCTCATTTCCTCGTTTTTTCGCTTCACACTTATTATGCCATTAAAACTGTATAAAGACTTGTAAAAGCTTGAAATGTCCTCTTCTTTTGTTACTTCCACGTTGCATGCTTGTAATATGACTTAAATGTGGGTCATTCCATATTTTTTTTGATCCAGAAGTGTGACAATTTTGTGTCTCTGTTATACTTAACCTGTGTAATTTACAATACAAGTATCATAGAAATAGAAGGTATTAAAGAATCTGTCCTGAATTTACAAAATCTTAAATCAATATGTAACATGGACACAAAATTAAATTGTACCCCCAATTTTAACAAATGACCCATGAACATGCACATACACTCTTGTTTTACTATACTCTAGAGGACAATGCTTTGTGTTTTCCTTTTTCCCTGTAATATAACCCTCTGCCATAGACTAAGCACACAAACCTACTACAGAGGACCGTTTCCAACAAAAGACCCAACACTCGAGGACTGAAAGGATCTCTTGTTCTCCTGTTGTGTGTTGGTTCTTGGGGTTATGTAGAACGTGTTCATTAAAGGGAATATACATCATTTGCTTTTGCTGTGATATTCAGAAATGGATGGAATGGGGGGTTGGAAATATATAGCAAATATAGTTACACTGACTTTTTTGAGGTTTTGGGTTCGAAAATGCTGTAAAAACCAAGAAAAACGATCATTTTCCTGTAGTCTGGTTCCCTGACTCCATATAAGAAGAAACAGAGCAGTTTACATACATTGGGGAATTGGAAGGTCAGGGAACCAGTCTAGCTGGCTCGTACCCGTTCATAGGTTTGTAATCGATTGCAAACAAGTGCGGTGGTCAATTGGGGCCAGTATTTGGAAAAAAAGCCAGTTGTTTCCAACGCTGATCGGCCGATCAGCGTTGGAAATTGATACAAAAATACCACTTTTCTTGAAAATGACAGTATACCAGGTGCCATGATTTTACAGGATGCTTTACACTGTCATTCACCAACAGTCCAGCAAGGTATTTCAAAATGATTTGGTTGTTTTATTTTTTGATGTTTGCAAATGTTGTATTTTCCCTTTAATGCAAGCTGTACATGAACGAAAGTGTTATGGCCCCAACAGTCAAAACTCAGAACAATGTATTTAAACACATGAGTGCAATTGCCACATCAGGTTGGTGCCATTTTTGTTATCCCGCGTATGCAGACGCAACAGTTTTGAGTGTATCTCGCTGCAAAATCTTAAGAGTTTTGATTGGGGGGACCTGCATGGACACCATCTGACTAACGAGGGTGTCGTTCAAAGTGCACAAGACTGTGATACTATTGGAAAATAGGCAGCACTTCTCAATTTGAAGTATATGCCAGCAAATGTACATATTTGCTTAAAGGATGATTTTTGCAGACAAAAATGAATAATATGGGGGGAGGGGACACCTCCTCTAGCAATATACCCCCTCTAGCAATGCCCCTGAGCCTTGTCCACCCTTACATTGTTTTTCAATATTTTTTATCAAAAACAGGGCAAGTTCATCAACACCGGTCTGTGGAGCATAAGCCGACACCCCAACTACCTCGGGGAGATTATCCTTTGGGCGGGGCTTTACATATCAGCCTCCTCCGTCATGACTGGTAAGCAGTACCTGAGCGTCATCTCCCCAATGTTTGTCTACTTTCTGTTGACCCGGGTCAGTGGCATCCCAATACTTGAGAAGTATGGAATGAAGAAATGGGGTAACAACAACTTGTACCGGGACTATGTCAATAAGACACCAGTACTCTGGCCCAAACTGTGGTAATTGTAGAGGTACTTGAGCCTATTGACTCCGTGCACAAGCACCCCCTCAATGAATAAAAATGGAGAGCTGGGAAGAGCACTGGGAGGGATTTTAGAAGGAGGGACCTCTGACGCTCTCAAAGACGTCCCCTTTGTGCAGATTGAGAGTGCGTACTTTGTGCCATTCGGTATGACACACACACACATGGTAACTGGTGGGGCAGGAAGCACACAGAGTAACAATAGGGACAATAGACTCCACAAGTCAGTCTGTAGAAATCTATGTACCCCATGAGGAAAACGAAATGGAGTTTGATATTTCATTACAAACAAAGGAGAACAAAAGAAGGGAAACAAGTATGTGTGTGTAAAGCCGCGTCTGAATTACTTGGCTACGGCTTGAAATAACACAAGGGTCTATGGGAAGTGGCTGCAGCCAAGTAATTCAGATGCGGCCTAAGGCTGTGCGTGTGTTCGTGTCTTGTATTACGCTCGAGGACAGACACACAAAGGGAGAACAGATGATCCTTTCAGTCCTCGTATCGTACGTTTACATGCTTAGTCTATGGGAAAGTGTTAAAGTACAGGGACAAAGGGAAACACAATAGGTTGTCCTCAGGCGTATAGTAAAACACGACTGAGCTTGTCTTACATACGCAGTGTGGACTTCCGAACAAAACACGTCCACATAATGTAGGTAGCACCGACGTTGTGTGGACTTGCCCACGTCCACACAGTGTTTCCCCATTTCTGGAAAACAGGTTTAGAGGCATTTTTGGGTTAGGTTTATCTGTAGCAGAATGAAGAGAAACACTAAAGGGAATCATTGAAAAAAAATTGGGTTGTAAGAGTTTTCACAGTTTGAGAAAAATGAGTTTTTCCACTGGTGTTCCTTAACTACACGAAAAGAAAGGAAAGTCCACACAAGGTATGTGAAACAAGTATGGGTGTGCGTGCGTGTGTGTGTACATGTTCCTCCCACTGGGGATCTCAAAAATGGTCACAAAGCGCCATCTACAGTTCATGCATGGAGTCAATAAGAATATCAACCTAACCTTCCATGGCATTTTTGGAGCCATTGTGCATCTGCTAAAATCCAACACTGCACTAACCAATTGCAAGCATTTTGTCATTCAGTTTGTTTGTTTGGGGTTTTCAGGGGGGGGGGGGAGTTAATAGTTTGGAAGTTCTTTATCTTGAAGTTAAACGTTAAATTCAAAATTCTGGCCAACGGGTGCTTAAAGAAATGACTGCTCATATGTTTTGGTTTACAGGTCATTCCATAAATTTGGGATCCAATTTTTTGTGTGTCCCTGTTACTTCGATATAAGTTTTTGTAACTTCAGGCCACATTGCCTTCTATCTTTAAGAGTGATCATTTAAAGCAAACACCAAATGAAAAATAGTTTGAAGTCAATTTTAATGATTCTTGCATGGAAAATTACACAGGTCAAGCGTAGCAGGGACTCAAAAAATGTCACATTTTTGGACCCCAAATTTATGGAATGATGGCCCTTACACGTCTTGCGACCTTACATGCTAACAAGCCTGTTTTATCAAACGTTTTCATTTCAATTTGTTTAGTATTTTCAATTTTACTATTCTCTGATTTGATACTTGATAGAATATTAACGTCTTGATATCTGTTATGTAACCATCCTGTTAAAACAATACAATTCGTAAACTTTTGTTTAAAGTTTTACTTGCAAGAAAGTGTAAGATTTTTCTGTACTTTCTCAAGCATCATTTGAAATCAACATACTTTCCTTTTATTAAATAGCTGACTAACACCATTGTTTCGTAACAGTTTCAAGTTTAATTTCTCTTTTTTATTGGATTGATTGTTTCCCTTGACATTGCTTACCTTAATTACTTATTTCATTTGAGTACCTTTGTTGCAGTTTGTTTAATTTAACTTCAAACCAGTTTTTATAGAAGGTATTCTTGATGAATATGATTATGATGAATTTTATACACGCATAATTTCAATGATGCAAATGATATGGAAAGCGAATTTATGTGGAAAGTACAACGGACTCCATAACGCTGCTTCTCAATGTATTGTAGTGCAAAACATAGTGCAAAATAAAAAGTTAACCCTTTTCGACTTTATTTTTTTTTAATTAAATGATGTGCTCAATTAATGAGCCTTATCGATTCTTTCGATCAAATTTAAAGTAAACAAGGAAACAAAACGTGACAATATTTATCCATGTATTAACTGTTTACACTAATGAATCATGATGACAGTGCATCTCACATTAAAGCTTGCATAATTACATTTGTCGTTCCATGTATTGTCTATGCATTTTTCATATATGAATTTTCCATGCATTTCGCATGCATTTCGCATGCATTTCGCATGCATTTGCCATGCATTTCGCATGCATTTTTTTTTTCTCTGCTTTTTCCATACATTTTCCATGCTTTTTCCATACATTTTCCATGCTTTTTCCATACATTTCCCATGCATTTCCAATGCATTACAAGGTTTCATTTTTTTTTCAATGTGTGTTCGCACGGTTTCAGCCAATGTTTTTACCCATCACATTTAAAGGGAGTCTGTTTTGTTTTCAGTTTTAATCTTCCTGGAGATCACTTTGGAACTGAAACTTAATTGAGTTTCGTTGTTTTCTTTCTTTTTTTGATATAGAGAAGATAATGTACTTAAATGATGAAACATTTTTTAGTTATATTCCTGTATATGCGGCACGCGACTTCACAGAATAAAAAACAAAAGTGCAAAATACTATTGAAATATTGTGTTAAAATTTCAGGAGTTCCTTGATGTGCAATTTACTTTCTTTTTAAACTGCGTCATTAACTCCAGATATCAATTCTTGCAAAACGAATAGTATTATGCGGACTGTTTTTATTTCCCGAACCCAAATAATTGCCCATCACATGTGGCTCGGTCAGTGCTAAAATAAAAAGTGCTAAAGGTGTGCATATTGAAAATACATTTGTTTATTTTTCACGATTTGTCACCACACACAAATCAAAACTTATCAGAGAACAGAGTATTGTCACCGTTTTCAGAAACTACATGTATAGAGACCACTAGACCTTGCTTTGATAAAGGTGACCGTTCGTTGAGAATGTTCGTTGGTGTTAATGATGGGGAAAATAGGGAATTCACCCAATGAAAAAAAAAAACACTCGAGGTTTTTTTTTTTTACACTTCAGATTTTACAGTGGCCACTATTACAACGCATAGAATGTCATATATCGCTGTGATACTACATAGCATAATGCTCGCATAGTTTTGAATTGAAGTGGTCAATTTATACTCTAAAGTTTCTCTTTCATAGTTATTACATGCATACCACCCAACTCGAGCAATAGCATTATGAAGAGAAATAGAAATATTCCAGTGCACGGAAAAAAATCGTCAATTTTTTATGGTGTTTACACCATAAAAAAAATGACGATTTTTTTCCGTTTTACATTTGTAAAATGCTAACTTTAATCATTGACCTATTATTTACATATTTTTTTTTTTTTTTAAATAACATTATTTTGGAAAGATATATTCTTTTCTAATTTAAAGCCTTTCTAAACTCATAACCGATATCGATCTATGCCGCGGAAGGTATTAATACATACGCCCATGGACCCTGCAATAAAATCCCCAAAGACACTAGTGCTAAATGCGCATACTTCAAAATTCTTTTAAAAATACTCAGAACTCTCACAGATATTCAAGCTGCACAGAAAAATGATGATCAACATGTCATCTTTCATTTTCTTTTCATTTTTGGTGGGTTGACCATTGACTTTTCGAGATATTCTCACCCAAAGAAGACGACGCCTATTTTCCCCAAAGCGAAAAAGTAGCCATCTTGAAAAACGATCCCTCCACAACATGGCAAAGTAGCGCCACTTTCGAGCCCAATAGTATCCGAAATGCTCAGAATTGGAAGCCCCAAGTCCGGGCCAGAGGTTCATTACCGTATCTCTTCAATTCCTCAATTTTGTGGCCCGCAAAACTCTCTAATATCGAATATTTGATGAAGTATAACTTTTATTCATGAGCTCGGCGGACGGTGTTTTAGCCTATATACAGGCGTGCACCCATGGGCCTTATTCACGAGTTGGCCATTGTTGTCGTGTTCCCTGAATGTATTTTGTTAATTGTTAATTGTTGAATGGGATGGCGCCAGACTATTTTATGCAGGCACAATGCAGCCTTATTTTACTGCCATTTTTTTTTAATCTGACTTTAAACATTAAGGAATGTTTATACCAATTTTAAATTATTCATTGAAGCAGACTGGAATTAATTAGAAATTAATTGGTTTCATTTCTCTTAGCAAGTTCCAAAAATTAAGAGTTCACCTCACTTTCAATTCAATATGGCCGACTCGTGAATAAGGCCCATTCAGCAGTTTGGAGGATGTCAGATTATATCAGTGACATATCGTTGTAAACTGTTCACATCTCTCGTCGTAATTGGGAGTGAGGTTCAGCACACAATGTTTGTTTTCTTTCTAATGAAAGGCGACGAACTTATTTCTCACTGCTTTTGTTAATATATCAAAACGCAAGTATTTTGTTGACATAATAAACATTGTTTCATATTCTTATGATCCCATTGCACGGGAAGTGAAAGCACACAATTCCTGCACACAATTCCTCTTTCTTTTATGAGCCGATGGGGTTATGTCACTTTAGTTAATACTCACACCAAAAGAGCTTATTAATTACTGTTAATTACGTGGTGCACAGATGATTTGCTTGTCAAGCACACGGCTTTCACAATTTCGCAACAGAAATTGTGTGTTTGTGTCTTATTTTTTATTTTATTTTTTTTGGAAAATGGCAGGCCCGTGTTCTGACCAGCCAATGGATTAAAAGTACATGTACAGTACATTTGTAATTTGTGCATTTTGTTCGTTTGAAGCAACAAACGTGCTCAAAATCTAAAGAAGGGTGCTGAACAACTAACCTGATGAAGTTTTAGCTCAGTGAATGCTGTATATTTCGAGAAAAACAACATTCTAGGATCTCGAATTCAAATCAAAAGTTGCTGAATCATGTTTTGAACTGGGCCTGAATTCAGCGTCCGAGACACGTTCTCACTGAGCCGATTGCAGCTACGCGATGTCGCGCCAACCGCGCGCGCGTGTGCGTCGTGTCAACGCTTGCGTGCGCTTCGCTGAATAAAAAAACGAACTATAAAACGGAATTTCCAATGATGCGTCTTTAGACGTATCGTTGGAAAGGCCTTCTTTCGTTGATTACTTCAAAATGACAGCTTGCCAGAAAGAATAATGTCACATGGAGTTTAGTCCCCTTACTCTCTTTCAACCAACTATGTTTGTCAACAATAATTACGTCAGTTACTTTTTGGATAGCTGCAAATGATGGACTGAGCTTTAAAGTGGGTAAACGAAACTGCGTGGTGACATTACTCTTCGTGTTTAGCTTACTTAACTAACGCTCCTAATAAGACTAGGCTAGAGTCAACGCTCCAACCAATAATGTCCTCATGTATGCTAGGGATGTCAATTTTCATGCGTTAATCTTGTCAAGGCCACTGGTGGCTTCTTGTTAGACGGGTGCCGTTGACACCTTTCCCATCTCGTAACCATCATGGCTAAAATCAGCCGACGATTTTGCTCTGATTACGCGCAAGAAATTGATAGTGGGTTCCGGTATCTCCGAGCAACGGCAAAAGCATATGGACTTGAATATCTCCTTGAAGTGGGGATGCTTCGTGGCATAGATGATAGGATTGATCCAACTGTTGAGTATGAGGATGGTTGCTGTATACGGCACTGCCGGGTTCAGAGCATCCACCAAGACGCAGATGGCATACGGCGTCAGGCACACAACGAACGCGCATACGACGTAGAACGTATTCTTGGTGATGTCTATCTGAAGCTGGTTCTGTTGTCTGGTTCCTGTCGGTAATTTCCACGCCGCGTTTATAAACTGAGCGCGTTTGGTAGAATGATGCTTAATATGTTTGTATATTTTGACGTAGCTGACGATCACGACCAGCAGGGGCACGGGATAGTTCACCAAGACAATGATGTAATCGTACCAAACGGCCATCTTCAGGCGGTCATTGAAGGTGCAAAACTTGTACTTGTAGTCGTAGCCAAGCTGCACGAGTCCAAAAATGCCCGGTAGTGTTGCCGTCAGGAGAGGCACCAACCAGGTCAGGGTAATCATAGCCGCCATTTTCTTGCAGGTGTACACGGTCTGATAGAATGACAAAGGTTTGGTGACGAGGAGTAAACGGTTCAGAGCGATGAAGCCCAGCGTGTGGATACTACAACCGATGCCAGTGGTGCCAAGCACCGATACCACGGAGCACAACCAGTTCGGTAAGGGCCAGCCGTCCTGACTGACCACCGCCAGGACCTGCCAGGCGAAGGAGAACCCGGTAAGTAAGTCTGCCACACTTAGATTCACAATGAAAACGTTAGTAGCTGTTCTCAACCTCTTTGTCAGCATCACTGCAATGATGACCAAGCTGTTATCGATAATGGCAATCAGCGACCATGCGGCCAAGATGGCCGCCACTATCACCCGCTGCGTGAAATCACAAAACACGAACTCAGAATCCTCGCCAAATGAAGCATTCTTAAAAAGATCAGCACAGGTATCCATTTTGTTACGAGAGGTATATATATGAAAAGGAAACAACTAAATTTCGTCCAGTGGTGCACAAGATACCACTACTTCTATAAGTCAAACATGGAAACCGACCGGTCACTCAACTACGTTGTGAAGGACTACAAACGGTGTCCGGAACTGATAGCGGCCACTCAAGGATGAAAAATACTTCCTCTCTTCAAATTAAAAGATCAAAAGGTAATTCCTTAAAAAAGGTGTCGGTGGCTCGTTTTTTGTTATTGAATATGCAAAATGTAAGCCAAAGCCAACGTATGTATGTAATGATGCCATCGTCATTTATCAAGGTTGTGTGCCGGTCAGTGTTAGCAATATCACCTTCCTCTTGGACTCAGAAATCTTCATACGAAAGTATCACGACTTATAAAGTTACAGCACAACATGTTGTGTTTCACGGTTTGCACGATGCCTGTGTCACGGCTGTGTTCGGAGCTTCAAGTCACGTGACGTCAATGGTCCCCTCCTTTGTGACCATCTACTCGCGTAGCATTAAAACATCTGCAGATACATGCCGCATTCAACTTGGAGTGTGTGGAACTTGCAGTTCAGTCGTGCTTCTATCTATACTTCAGGTTTATACGATAACGCGTAGCCTAGGCCAAATGCTTGCTCGTGATCGCATCGTACGCCATAATCTAAACCAGTTGATGTTGGCATCCGTCCTATGTACACTGAGAATTACTTTCTGTTCTCAGAGTACTTCAGTAGGCGTGCAATCAGTCAGTCGCGTCCACCAGGGTCACATGTTTCCGTTTTCTTGCTTTAGTGGACGAAAGGGAAACGAAAAGAATGCTTACTGTGCATGTGAAACACAACTCTCATCAATGACTTAACATAACATCCCCTGTAATACCGTGGGATTTCATTTATGCATATTTTACAATAACAAAGTGTAATTTCCGCTACATTACTTGAGTGTGTGTATACCATGAAAGGTTACCACGATACGCAAAACACGATCGTCAATGTAACAGGACTAGCGATAAAGTTAAACTATAACCCGAGTCCGTGTATTCTGAATTGGATTTGCACTGTCTTATATCCGGAAACAGCTTCAAGGAGGAACTAGCCAACATTGTGGACTGTGCAATAGAAACGGGAGATCTGACACGAGTGCTGTCGTGCATGCTCCAGGTTGTTTGCTTCATGTGATTAATTGGTCCCTTATAGGGAATTAGGGATTGATTACTTTGGAAGGTTCCGGAAAATATATTGGTGATAACTCTTGTCGAGATGTAGTAAGACCCATGATCAGACAACGCCCTTGACGAACCAAGATTTAGATATTATTATTTGTTTTAAGTGGCTTGTCTTAAAAACAAAACAAAATGAGACTATAGTCTAGTATCGTTTCATTACTTTTTTTTGCAATTTGCCAGTAAATCAATTTGGTCGGAAACAAATCAGTGCCTATAAATACAACACCATATCCGCGCAGCTTCATTCTAATTAGACGTCTTGAATACTGAACTTTGGACGCTGTATCGACTTTACTTAGTATTTATCATTCACCAGGCGATCAGTCAGATTGATCACACTTATCGCTGTTAGAAGCGCGTTTATAATTAATGCTAGAACATGCTGAACTTCCAATGTGATATATTCAAATCCTGTTGTTTAAAAAGATCAGATTACTTTGTACCCACAAAAGACCATAAGCGATTTTGATGATGAACCTAATCATAAACATGAGTATTGTATCATAAGAATGTTCCACGAGTAAGGTTGTGATGCGCGCAACAATAATATGACGTAATGATTGCCGTGCGTCAACGTCTATACTCATTACTATAGGGACCATTAAATTGTACGCATACGGGATACGTGTAAGGCTCGGGGGGAAAATGACCTGATGTTGAATAACCGTTTTGGGTCATTATTTCACCAGACTTATGTAATACATGTCGATAATTTGATGCAACAACATGCACATTGCCGGGAGTGTGCCCGAGGAATTAACAACGCAAAATGGTGATCTAATAAATAGGTGACTTTTTCCTAGCCGCGTACGTCTCCTGTAGACGCACCATTTCTATTGGTATACTGAGTCGGAAATGGTGCGGGTGCGGGCGGGATACGTGTTCGGCTTGGAAAACGAGTTGTTTATTTTACCATATTTTTGTGTGGTTATTTCACCCAACCGACATAATCCATGTTATATGAACATGTTGATTTGAATACACATTGGCCATGGTGTGCCAGATGAAATAACTACGCAAATGAGGGATTTAACAAGCAATTTGTTTTCGAGCGCGCATACGTATCCGTACGCGTACCATACGTAAGCATACTATTTCTAATGGGCCTAGTACCTTTCAGACGTAGACACATGTTGTTGCTAGTTCCAGAGAGGGCCAGCCTTTTTGTACCTAATCTAACTGCTTCACTCACTGACTCAGTAACTTAAAGTGAGACTACCTACTGACACTTGTGACATGCTCTAGTCTCTGACCAGCTTGACGAGACTTGCCTGTTCATGTGTGTCGTGTTGCATCTACAAATCATATTCTCTAGTCTGGCCGTCCGCGCCCTTGGTTCAGGTACTGTCATGGTACATGTGTAGGTAATAAGTCAAGTTAGGGTTATAGGGTTAGGGTTAGGGGAGTCAGGTTGCCGTAGCGGTACTTTCCTCGTCTTCCACCGCTGTGACCCGGGTTCGAATCCTACCTGGGGCTACATGTGGATTGGGTTTTCAGTCCCCGCCTGATTCCCTGGGTTCCCCCGGAATATTCTTCTGGGGTTTCCTTCCATCATTAAAACTGTCATTTCTCCTCATTGTCTCCTCTTTACATGTTTCTTCAGGCTCGCGAGCTTCAGTGCCTTGGGCGCTTTTGAGGAATCCTTGGTTTCATTACCATAAATAAATATGTACAGCTATGTACAAACTGAAAAGAATTGAGTGCACTCTTGGACCAACTTTATAAAGGCTTGCTTTTTTACTTGTTTTATTTGAGAACTGTTGATCGAAATAATGTACAACGAAACTACCCTGCTCTGTGCCGTTTGCATTTGTGTTCATGTACATAGTTTACATGTAGTTGAATTTATTATTCAGGAGAGGTTACCGCCCTCATTTATCAAATCTGTGCTGCTGTCGTAGATTGTAGAAGAGTCGGCTTCAGCTTTGGAAAGTGTAGCGTTTATATTTGATAATTATATTTTAGGCTAAGAAAATAAGATTTGTTCAGAGGTACGAGCACTACATGTATTATATTTAGACGAAGAACGCTTGTCTTGAAAGGCATAATTATATACAGCTTTATGAGGCCTTTTCAAGTTCATATTTGAAAGCTTATTTGAGTTAGTAAACAATCCAAAATATTTTCGGAGGTACATTGATGAGATATTGCATAAGGGTCAGAGTCTCTCTCTGATCAGTCACATTTGAAGTCTTCTTCAAGATTCAACACCGGCTATCTGCGTCTTATAACGTTCTGCCGGACGAGACTGTTCTTTGGGCGTATCTTGGAGCACTGACAGCGAAGCATAAGACGAAACACTTCCCTGAAGTGAGGGTGCTTGGTAGCGTAGATGATCGGATTGATGCAGCTATTGAGAACTAAGATGGCGGCAGCCCAGGGAATAAAGGGATCGCTCGGAGGTATCATCAAGGCAATGCCGAACGGCGACACGCAAATGACGAAGGCTAGTACAACACAAAAGAGATTCTTGGTGATGTCGATCTGCTTGCGGCTTGTGGAAGGACGCTTCAGCTTATAGGAATCTTTGGGGTTGGATTCTGTGTCTGCGTTGCTTTTACGAAGCGATGAGACTGAGCCTTCTGTTTGGGAACACATCAGTCGCTTACAATGCTGCTTGACATATTTGAAAATCTTCACGTAGCAGACGATGATGATCGTCATTGGTCCGGGGTAGAAGATGACAGCCTGGACAATGCTGTAGACGTGAGACAGAGGGTTGCTTGTCTTATGGGTACAGCTTCCATACTTCTCAGCGTACCCCAGCTCGCCAAGTCCAAACAGAGGCGGGAAGAATGCGACCAGGAACGGCACCAACCACGTGGCGGTGACCATGCCGGCAGTTTTGCACCTCGAGTACAGACTCCGGTAAGTCCGGACCGGTCGGGTAATGAGGATGTACCGGTTGATGGCAATCGCTGCCAGGGTGTACAAGCTGCAGCCCCCGCAGACGTACAGCACCAGAGCCACGGCCTTGCAGATCCACTCGGGGAGCATGGAGGAGCCCAGATCGGCGTCAAGGAGGTTGACGGCGTTGAACGGCAGAGCCAGGCAGGTGAGCAGGTCGGCGATGCTCAGGCTTACCACGAAGACGTTAGTGATGGTCCGGAGGCGGCGTGCGAGGCAGACAGCGACGATAACCATCGCGTTGCCAACACAACCCAAGATAGAGATAATGAAGTAGATGGAGGCAAGGACGACACGCTGGTTGTAGTCTGAAAACCGAAACTCGACCTCAGCACCATCGACGAGTGTCTCATTTGTTGCCGTGTCGTTTTGTAGTGGATCCATAATGATCATACAGTGCAGTGGTTTTGTCTCAATGTTTGGTTGCTTCAATATTTTTCTATCTGAAAAAGTACATGGATTCCGAATTCAAACTGTGACTTTTGAAGACGCCTTTGTTGTTAAAGTTCTCAAAGTTTGTAACCGTTGACCAAGGCTGAATGTGGTATCGGTCGTTGTGTCGGCCGCCTCTTTATATCCAAGTCGACTCGTAAACAAGTCCCCACCTTGTTTAGTTTCGGTCCTTGTTACCCTCTTGCAGTACCTTGTTTGGCATCATGATCGTTTCCTGGCGCACCTTTTGAATGACGGCTGTGCACCAGCCTTTCCTGCCCTGGCCCTGGTAGTTTGGGTCATTGGCATCAGACAGTGTAATTCATGTAGCAATTTCCAGCAATATCACATCCGCTGTCATTGTCTGATACACTTTATACTGGTATGTGTCATTGTTTGGAACAACAAAGAAAATGACACAGAATACTTGTTTCACAACTGTCAACAACTGTAGTGCACAATATCTTTATTACCCTGGTTAGGCAAACAATATGATTTATAAAATTCACTTTTTTTTCTAAAGACGGGCCTTCAAAAGGACTTTGTCGAATATTTGTACCTTTAAACGGAGGTTTTAATCGTTGGTGATGTTTGAAGACAATTGCGACGACGATTCTTGAAATCGCATTTTTGGACGAAAGAGGTTTTAGACTTTTATGGTCATTGCGTTTAAATGGTGGAGTGATATTCTTTAAACGGACTTAGCAATTTCAGTAATTTGTTCATCTAAAAGTAGCTTATGAAATTGGCTTTCCAGCCATTATTATGTTTGGTGCTACATATTTTTTAATATATGAAATATAATTTGTGGGGTTTGGGTTCCGCTTTTATTGACTCACCCTGTGGTTAACAGACTTTACTACCCTAGCTGCAGGGGCGGATCCAGGAATTTTCGCAGGGGGGGGGGTCATCAGAATTTTTTGAAATGTAGACAGGATTTTTACTCCGGACACTTGGCCTCCGAAAAGGTGGGGTTTTGGAAGGGGGGGGGGGGGCTCGAACCATATATTTTCAATGGGGGCGCTGAATACCCCCTAACCAAGCTGGCTCTGTCCGTATTGTGTGCACAGGCGGCCATTAATATTACGAGTATAATTTTGTTGGGTGTCACAGTAGGGGGGGGGGGTCGGATTATTTTTTAAGGAATTCAAGTCTATGAAAAAAAATTTTGATGGGGGGGGGTTATCCCCCCCCCCTCCCCCTGGATCTGCGCCTGATTTGACTATTTGGAACCGGAGCCCACGGCGTACTTTGCATCACTGGTTAGCTAACCCTAGCTACGCACATCATAACGCACAACAGGGAGCCATGATCAAAATTCTCCGTACAGTACTATTTGTTGCACTTCAATCGATCATTCCGTTGACGAAGTTCGTCCCCCCATTCCTCTCCACTACAGCTTGTATCCAGTTTCGTCGCATTTCGGCCATCAGAATGCCTCTCAAATAAGTAAACAATTTGTCAATGATCCTCGCATGGCAACATGTAGCAGGAATATTCTTCTTGTACAGAACACTGTATATGTTATACTTGTAAAATGCAGCACCCTACAGGAACTTATATGCAAAATTTGTTAGAATTTAAAAAAAAATCTAATTATCACGAAATACCTTCAGTATACTGGACTGTTAGTGAATGACAGTTTAAGGCATCCTGTTAAATCAGGGCACCTGGTGTGCTGACATTTTCAAGAAAAGGGGTAAATTTGTATCGATTTCCAACGCTGGTCGGCCGACCAGCGTTGGAAAAAAACTGGCTTTGTTTCAAATACTGCTCCTAATTTGTCATTATGTAGTTTGTCCGCATTTTCTTTGCAATCGATTACACACCTGTGAACGGGCACCAACCTGCTAGACTGATTCTCTGAGCTTACAATTCCCCGACGTCCATAAGGGTACACCCCGGTAAATAGGCCGAAAATCCGTCCACCGAGCTCATGAATAAAAGTTATACACTCAAATTATTCTATATTATTATAGAGTTCTGAGAGCCATGGAATTAGGAAATTGAAGAGATATAGCAGTGGGGCTTCCAATTCAGAGCATTTTGGATGCAATTGGGCCTGAAAGTGGCGCTATTTTTGAATAGTCATGTTGTGGAGGGATCCCTTTTCAAGATGGTTATACTTTTGGGAAACATCACTCGTTTTAGGGGTGGTCTTCTTTGGGTGAGAATTTTTCGATGGAAAAGTCAATGGTCAACCCACCAAAAATTGAAAAAGAAAATTAAAGATGACATGTTGATTATCATATTTCTGTGCAGCCTGAACACCTGTGAGTGTTCTTAGTATTTTTTTGAAAACGGCGAGTTTTCACTGGTGTCTATGGGAATTTTTATACTGTAGTGCACCAATAAATTGCACCCCATTTCATCTTAAGTGGGGTAAGGGAACCAGGCTACAGGAACATGAATGTTTTTCTCTGTTTTTCCAGCATCTACGAACCCCAAACGTCAAACAAGTCAGTTTAACAATATTTGCCATAAAATACTAACCTCTAAATCCATCCATTTCTGAAAATAATACAGCAAAAGCAAATGTGTTGTGTATCGCCGTCTGTCAGCAGAGGGCGCTGTTCTTGCAACATGTCTCTTTTTTGTGTGGTAGCAGTTTTTCCGAGGCGTCCTTCTATGGTGTTCCAATACGAAGTTGTAATTTGACTTGTAGTGACCATATCAGCGTTTTGTTCTGCGAAGTAAAGCCACTAATAACAATTTTAGTTTTAATGATGTCAACAATAAACCGTCAGAAACAATAGTTCCTTTCTTTCCACTGGAATAAATCACGGTTTTGCTTGTCGCCTTTTAGAGATTGAACATTAAAGAAATGCTCAGTCCACAACAACAAAAATATTTTACTTTGAAAAAAAATGAGGGAAATTCACAGATTTTCTCATGTGATGATTTTGTAGTTTGAAAACGCTGCGGAAGCACAATCATTTATGACATCCATCATAATTATTTCCTGTGAAATATGTTAACATAAACAATCTTTTATCACTATTGTAGGTTCCTAATTTGCAACTGCGAAAATGCTTTATATACACGACTTTCACGGATGATTTTCCCCTCGCTGATTTACATTTACTATTAGCGGTTTATTTACCGAAGTAAAGCCACTGGTAAGAGCGCCCTCTGCGCACATTGATGTGCCATTAAGAACCAAAAAAAATTGCTCTTTATTGAGCACTGAGGGTTGCAGACCCGTAAATAAGTTCCCATAGGCCCCAATGATAAATGCCCCCACTTCAGACATTCAGGAAAAATTCTCACAACTCTCTGAGGTGTTCAAGACGTACATCAAATTAAAGCTTATTTCATCATCTTTCATTTTCTGTTCAATTTTCTGAGGGGTAACCGATGACATTTGGGGGAAAATTCCCTCCAAAGATGATCACTCCTAAAAGCAGTCCTGAAGCCCATCGCCATTTTGAAAATGGACGCCTACGCTCCAGTGCAAAATAGAGCTATTTTAGGGCCTAATCATCATCCACGATTGCAGAAATATTAGCTTGCAGTCCTCTGCGCGGCTTCCACCCATATTTTGTACAAACCCTTAAGTTCATGGCCCACAATATGCTAAAATACCGAAGAATTTGAGGGCATGCAAATCGTGATTTGGCCGGCGAAGGCAATCTCGGACCGATTTACTGGTTTGCACCCTATAAAAGAAGTGAGGTTTTGAAAAATTCCCCAAACCACTTGTACGGCATTAGGAAGGATGGATAATCCATATTTGATCAAAAAATTGGGAGAAAAGAAATCTCTGACTTCGTATCTGGCCTTAAAACAAGCACTCTGTTTGCGGCTGCGTTGCTGTAGGGCGCCCCCAACGGGAGTTAATTGACTTCCAGCTCCATCCAACCCCAAATCACCCCCCCCCCCCCTTTGCTCGAAATAGCTGTGATTGGATGACGGTCTATCGGCCCCCTTCAGATTTGGGAGCATTTGTTGCAAAACCGCCATTGGAGACCCCCTTTTGAATCGCTGCCCCCCCCCCCCAGGTCACGCCCCCTGAAAAAAACATTGCCGTGAAATGCATACGCACCGCTAACGATGGAGGACGCCATCTTGACACTTCTCTCGTACCCCCCGCCCTGCAAACAGGACGCTGGGATAGTCTGATGAATTCACGCTCTGATTGGTTGGAATTTGCGTGACCAGTGACCTGTGCGTCATCAAGATCATGACTCTGCAAGGTTTGAAACGGCCGTTAAGACTGATGCATTACTCTTTTATTCCAGTTTAGAGATGGTTTTTTTCTCGTTGAAAAGCGTAATAATGTAGGAAATTCTGTAAGACTTATCTGTGTTGTAAATTTACAATTCCCGTCACTCGCTCAGGCTCCGTTTCGAATCACGAACGGTCGGATTGCATTATCCGACGCTCAAAATTTTGTCCACATGGTCCGCGCTGAAACAGAAATCATATCCGGTATGGAATGTGTGCAATTCTATGGGAAGTTTTCGGATAGCATTTGCGCACATTGTCTAACTGCAGTCTTAAACAGCTGCAGCCAGATGCTTTATACATAGATCATAGGTCATTTCCTTCGCAAGATTCGGTGAAGCTCATCAGAGTATCCCAGCGTCCTGTTTGCAGGGCGGGGGTACGAGCAAATCTTGACACTACAGGTTGCAGACCACTAAATAAGTTTCCATAGGCCCCAATGATAAATGCTCCCACTTCAGAAATTTAGGAATAAATACTCACAACTCTCTGAGGTGTTGAAGACGTACATCAAATTAAAGCTTATCTCATTTATTTCATCTTTCATTTTCTGTTCAATTTTCTGAGGGGGTAACCAATGACTTTTGGGAGAAAATTCAATCCAAAGATGATCACCCCTAAAAGCAGTCCTGAAGCCCATCGCCATTTTGAAAATGGACGCCAACGCTCCAGTGTATTAATAGACCCAATTTGGAGCCTAATCATCATCCACATTTCACAGAAATATTAGCTCGCAGTCCTTTGCACGACTTCCACCCATATTTTGTACAAACCCTCAAGTTCATGGCCCACAATATGCTAAAATACCGAATAATTTGAGTGCATGCAAATCGTGATTTAGCCGGCGTAGGCATTCTCGGACCGATTTACTGGTCTGCACCCTGAGGGGTTCGAAAGCGAACGCTGCCGCCAAGCGAGCGACGGGCGGGGGCGCCCCCTCCCCCACGAAGCAAGCGGGGCAAAACCTTGTTAAAAATAATTCATTAATTTAGCTCATGTTTTCTAACAAATATTGTCTTCTGATCCCGACCGTTATAAGCTTTGTATTGTGTCACTTAAATGAAATTTTTGGGGACACTAAAACGTCTTACTAGTCCTAAATTCTGTATGACCGTAGCCCCGTATGCATCTTAAAGGCTTAGGACAAGTTTTTGAGGAAAAAGAATGTATGACTTCTACATGCTTTCATGGATTTTGATGAAACTTGGATGCAGTGGCCCTTGGGTTGGAAGACAGATCGGATCACCGAGGTCTAAGATCATGTAGGGGTCATTAGAGGTCATTGTTCAAATATGCTTCAAATATTTCTTTGTCTACAGAATTTGATGGATTTTATTGTTACTTGCATGGAGTGATCCTCGGGTGGGGGTTCATGACAACTCTTCCGAAATTAGATGTCAAAGGTCATCTAGGGGTCTTTTGAGGTCGTTCAAAAATGCACAAAACATATTGGGATCAACCGTGGAAAAAGCGACACGTGTGATCTGCGGATCACTAAAAGTTAGTTATCAAGGCAATTATATGACCAGTTAACGAGTTCAAGCTTATCCCGATTTCGGAAGTATTCGCTGAAAAAAATTACGCATAGGCCTACATAAAGCTACATAAAGTGTTGTTAAACATCATAAGCTTTAAAAAATAAAGGCTTAAGTTCAGATACCGATCCATGCACCACCTTTCATGATATATTGTCATTCTACATACAAGCGTGATGTGAGTTCCTTACAAGCGTAGTCTAAATTTGGAAGATTTACCTGTATGAGTTTGCTATTGTAACATGATTAAGTGTGTTCACCTTAAATTCGTCATCTGCATTTCATAGAAGCCAGTGCATCACGATATGATTATTGCGGACGGGGCAGAATGATACCATTATCTTGCAAGATATACCATTACAATAACTAGCAACCCGTGCGTGTACCACTTCCTCACAAAAAGCGATTTAAAACAAAAAAATAAAAATTATTTAAATATAATAGGTACCCCGGAAAACAGCTGTGGTGGCTAGATAACATCAGTTTCGAAGGAGTGGCGAGGATGTATTGCAAATAATTAAATTTAGCGCCTATATTTACACAGTGAGAGCAGCATTGACAAGTGGTTTTTTTTCTGAGTAAATTATCGGCAAAGCAACATTGTATCAGTTGTATTGAATCATTGAATTACTTATATCTACGTCCACGTTGCTTTGGTTTGTCCACACGACCCATGCTTACGAACGTGCACGGGTTAGTGTCTTGTTTTCTTTTCTCGCGTTTGGATACTGAGTTTTGTCACAGCCTCAAACAATAATAACAATGAATCCAAGCGCACAGTAAGCGCCGTTCGCTCTCAATATTTCAACCTGATGACTCTTACCAGAAGTTTTGGGCCATCCGTCCCAACACGGGAACACTGTGTCAAGGACAACCCACCACCAATCTACATTCCAGGTTATCATTTTAAACAATTCCCTTTCACGCAATTTCCTTCCGGGTTTTGTTCTTTTTGTGGACCCGAAGCAGGTGTCTGAACTTTCTCTACTTGATAAAACAAATCCCACAGAAGTGATAAAAAGTCTGTTAATCTATATACATACGAAAACGTTCGCTTTCGTAAAGTAGCGGAGAAAGTTCGCTGAGAAAGATCATTGCGCATGCGTCACACACTTGGTCAGTGCCCGGATCAACCTCCTTCCCATTGGGTGCCATCAATCTGCGACCCATGCGTGTATTTCTGGATGCAGCTTTGGTCATTGTCACTGAAGCGCAATATATATGCCTCACCGTGATGGCCTTTTCGATGCATGCACTCTCTCATGGAGCTGCTACGCACAGGCACATTTGCGTATAGCTGACAGCATTACTCGCTTAGCAAAACCAGATTACCAGCCAAAATGTCACGGGGTGTGTATTGCCTGTGATCGTTTCACGCGGCTGTTTTTTTTGCTTAGCAGTAACATTATGTTAAGCAAAATGTTCTACCGAGCAGCTCCTTATTACATGCCATCAGCCAAAATTGCCCACTCAGTGGAGTAGGCAACTTAATTAGACTTATACCGTATTTTTTTCTTATTTGTACCCCGTTTTGTTTTGAGGATGATTCTTTGGAGTATTAAAGGGGCGAAGTCATGCAGGTTTGCTTTCGCTGTGTTTGCAGGAGTGGTCTCCATGAATGGAGGGTATTTGGCATTTAGGGCCTTTTTTATTTAGTCGTACACAACATTTGTTCAGGCCATCAGTATAATTGGAGGCGTTTGGAGCCAAGTTAGACATTTCCCCGGCACCTCCACCCTCAAACCTCCCCATCCCTGACACCCCCCCCCCCCCCTCCAAGCTACGGCACAAATCAGAGGTGACCATTCAGTTGATCACCAAAAATTGCGAAAGAAATTAAGCAGTGGCGTAGCCAGGATTTTGTCAGTGGGGGATCGGGGTGGGGGGGGGGAGTTATGGGGTGGTACCAAGGGCGGATCCTAAACAAAATCCCCCCAAAAATTTCCAGATGCTGCAAATTCGAAAAGGGCACGGGGGGGGGGGCCTCTTTTGACACTAGGGGCACTTTTTTTTCTTACCAATTTATTCACATTTCATAAAGCTCGTTCCAGGGAATCAAAGGGATTATAATCGAGTAAAAGATATTAAACTTTCCTCTTCTGTTGCATTACTAAAAAAAATATACTTTCAAAACACACTTCCTTGGCAAGTGGCAACTTTCACGTTTTTTTGGAGGGGGGGGGGGGCGGGGGGCACTGAGATTTTGTTGGGGCACTTGCCCCCCCCCCGGCCTACGCTTTAATTAAGTAGTCTTTGGTTTACGAATTTATCATACGCATACAGTACGATTCATTCCCAGTCCCGGTCCCGTCCGTCCCCCCCCCCCCCCCCCCCCCCCCCCCCCCCCCCCCGTGTACGCGTAGCGAACAAATATTGGCAAGTCTATATTTGGTCTCTTTGCAAATAACGGTGTATGACAGAGATTCCCTCTTTTTCAAATGCAAATCAACAATATCGACCGGTGCTCATGAGTCAACATTTTAGTATAAAGGTCTGATCTAACCGGTTCGTTAGTGTGACGTCACCTCCAGCACTTTCTGCACGATTTGAACCGGAAGTTAACGCAGTTCGAGCGTTTGCAGCCAATGGGCGCTAGTAATCAGTGGTGTGCGCGCGTGTATGACGTTTTTACTAACGAACCGGATAGGGATTTAGCGTGACGTCACGCGCACAAAAGATTCATCATGTATGGTGTGTCACTCATTGACCGTTACACCCCATTGTGTATTTAGCGCTTGATCAGTTTAATGAAAAACCTTCTTCTGAGTTTACAGTTAATTACACGGGCGGTCTACCACTGTGTGACCTGGAAAAATCTCCACGCATGATATATCCGGACAAAATAGAAATTGGAAGAATTATGTGACAGTTGGTACGCGGTGTACGTACGAACGACTGTGGAGGACTGGCACGTACACAACGTCAAGCTGACTAGCGTATAACATGTACGATTCTATTCTGATTGGTTGGGAGTCTGGAGGGCACGACTGCTGATCTAGTCTGATCCGACCTGCACAGTGTAAAGAAATATCAGTATTGTTCTGCATATTCCACAACTTTGCCTAAAAAAGCTAACTGCACTGTATACTGAACACTTCTACCGCACTCGCCTGGCACCTGTAGGCCTTATTGTGAAAAACCGACCATGATGATACGAACCCACGGAGGAAGGAATCATGATATAGGAGTGAATGACACTTGACAGGATGCCTGTGGGCTGTAGAATCCGTGATCTTTCGAAGCACAGAACAATATAACTCAATGACATAGTTAACAAACAAGTGGTACCGACGGGAAAAAAACGTACAACCTGCTGTACAGTGTACATGTGTACACGGAGCATTCGTCACTTTTTCAGCGCGTGTTACCCTGAATATGTCATCTCCGGTTGTTGTTCGTCGTGTGAATTATTGGGCCGTCCTTGTCATAACCGACAGCCGGACACTGGAACCTATAAACAGCTGTAAAAAGTTGGGAAACAATGCGTTGAGTCTCCTAAAACCTTCACAGACTGTTTACCTGTAAACACACATTCCTGAGCCCTGTTCCTGACTCCTGAGTTTGTATGTAGATAACATCCCGAGTGATAAGAGTTAGCAAGGACAACCCGGTTGACTCTGGACTACTTCACCTGCGAGTTCAAAAGGTTTATCAGGATCATCGGGCCTCAACAGTGTGTTTCACTTAGTTCACTCACCGGGCCGATATTTCGTATTGCTTTCAGTTTCTGTTAAGGTGAACTTGGAACTTGGAACTTGAAAGGCACTGTTGTGGTTTTGTGTTACATTAATGTTAACACGGAACGCTCGATACCCGGAAGAGAACAACCCATCAGGCCAGGCCTAGGCTGCCTGACAGTTTCATTGCCAGTGACAGATAGTGTTTACGTCTGAGTGTGCTTTCAGTTCTTGTTGGTGCAGTTGCAACTGATCATTTCGAAAATATCTTGGTGATAATTACTGCATCGTTGGAATCAACAAAATTATTTCCCTTCGTTGAGTGAGTTTACAGTTTCAGCTTATCAGTACACAACTGGAAATAATTATGGATGAGGAGAGTGTGATGGATTCCGTGATGGATAACTCCACGGAAAGCCCACCGTTCGAGTTTAGCGACTACACCCAGAGAGTCATAGTCGCCACTATGTTCCTGATCGCCTTCGTCGTGGGAACCATAGGCAACTCGCTGGTGATCTTGGCCGTGCTGCTGTCCAAAAAGCTCCGCACGACCACCAACGCCTTCGTGGTGAGCCTGAGCATTGCGGACCTTCTGACCTGCCTGGTCATCCCGTGGAATGCCGTGGCACTGCTCGGTAAAGATGGCCTGCCAGTTGGCGAGTGGATCTGCAGTATTGTCGCCATCGCTCAGGCCACGACGGTCGGCTGCAGCCTGTACATGCTGGCCTCCATCGGCCTGAACCGCTTACTGCTGATCACCCGAGCCTCGACCACCTACCGGGTTATATTCACGCCGAGAAAGATTGCAGTCTGGCTGCTCCTCATTTGGCTCATCCCTCTACTGATTGTTCTGTTACCGCCAGTCTTGAATGTGGGGGCTGTCGGCTTCAACCCCAAATACCACACTTGTGGGTCCATCTCATCCCACCCTAAATCCAATTACTATGATCTCATCATTGTAGGCACCCTGTACCCCATCCCTCTCCTGACTTTACTCGTCTGTTATATTCTCATCTGGAGGCACCTGTACCTCCACGCCAAGAGGATGGTCTCATCACCAGAGGCTTCCTTTGACTCAACAGACAACCGGCTGTCCGTGGTGTCTAAATCAGTGGTTACCATAAACAGTAACCACTCCCACCAGTCCCGTCATTCCCACCATCACCTGCCCACTTCTCCAAGCCGCTCAGGTACCGTCAGCCGGTCGCGGATGAGCAGGCGCCAGACTGAGATCACCAAGAACATGTTCTACATCGTCTGCGGTTTCATGTTGTGCCTGACGCCCTACGCCATCTGCCTTTTCTTCGACGACAGCGACCCTGTCCTTCCCTACGCTGCCGCCATTCTGTTCATCAATAGTTGCATCAACCCGTTCATCTATGCTACCAAGCATCCGCACTTTAAGACGGTCTTTGGTTGCATCTTTCGCCGGCAGTGGGACCACATCCCAGATCCCTCGGATTCTCTGAAGGCCCTCAGAAGCAGATGCAGTTGTGGGAGGAGTAGCGTGTACGCATGAGTGTAGCTGTGAACAAATGAAACATTTCGCAACTTTATCGCATGTTGATCTTTTGCTGGTTTCTACCTGACTGACTGTCACTTGTGAATTGGACTTGCTTTAGCCTCGCCTTCGCCCAAACATTGAATTTGACTCAGATGATTACCTATATAGGCCCCTTAAAGCAAATTGGCCTGAGCCAGCTTTACTGGGCTTGCCAAACTTGGCTGTAAACTGAGTGATTGTGAAGTTAGGTTGAACAGCTGACATTTAATATAGTACTAAATGTATAAACTATAATACACGGATTCTTTGTTAACATTCACAACTCTCCATTTTGTATAACGTGTATGAATAATGTATAACAGATGCATGTTAGATAGCAAAGCTTATATTTGAAAAAGTTTTAAAAGAAACAAATATGTTTGAAAAACCGAACCAAACTCTGTTGTAATTGCATGCGGGCCTTATTACGTATCGCAACCAAATGTGAAAGCTCTATGTACAATAGCTCGTGCCATTTTTGAAAAAGCAAAACATGAATGTCTACATGTTTATGTGCACGAGGAAAAGCGCCAAAAGGTATTTCTGGATCCTGCCTCGGAACCTATTTAATTGGGACTCGCCCTTTTCTCAATCGATCAATCACAAAACTATCAAATTCATAATCTTCATTTAGAACTAAAGTCCTGCAAATTTCGACATTTCAGCACGTAGCCAACTCTATGTTTATTTACGAACAGAATTAGTAAGAATGCAAGGACGGATGGGGGGGGGGGGGGCAACGGGGGCCATGCCCCCACCCCCAAACGAACCCTTTTTTAATTGACGTCGCAATAAAGGCAGGCACTGCGTACACCACCATCTTTTCCTCAAAAACAATTTGGTTAAAGTGGTCAGACTACAAAGCATCTAGAATCAAAAATTGTTCGGCCCCGAACTCCTCCTCGCCGTAATTGTTTGGACCCACTTTTTGGGGGACCAAACTTTTTTTTGGCCTGCCAAAAAAAATTGTGTTCTGGATCCGCCCATGTAAGAATGTAGGCTTTCAGTATGAGAACGATGTGCCGTCGTTTGATTAAAAAAATATTCAAAGAGCTTTGCCACTGTCCAACATATATCTAACGATATAATTGGTGTAGATATTTCGAGGCGATTATAAATGCAATCTTCAAGTGCGTCAACCTCGACTCCATGGAAACCACCCTATCCCCGGGCCAAGATGTCAGGGACAATTTTCAGACAAATTTGAGTGAGTGATCCCTGCGTTCAGTCATTTATTAGCCGACCTACAGAGATCCAGTCATTTCAAATACAACCGGGTGCATTATCGGATCAACCACAGTATACTGTCGATAAGATTGTTCCTTAGATGTGCCTCGAGGTAGGCTACAATATTACGTTCAGATATCATAATATACTGTGGTTGAAGATTAATCAAACTTGAGATAATTGACAAAAGATGATTCAGGATCGTCGGCATTTTCACTTCCATCAATTCCAACTCACTCAAACCCGGTCTCGGAATTTTCTCAATTCCTGTTGCGTCAGTTTGCTGGTCCCGGTTGAGCCAGCTTATAGACCTCTTCGTACCTCACTGACTCGTTGTCACTTGTGACCCGGGCAGTTCTAACGTATAGGATCACCCCGTATAAAGACCAATGAATGGGCTAAATCCGACCAATTTGTACACAGATGCATTACAGTGAGTAGTCGTTCTGAATCGATTGAATTAAATTGTACCTAACTGACTTCCTCGTTCATTTAATAACATAACAATATTTTCATTTCTTTTAAAGGGACATTACGTCCTGGAATGCGCCCAATTGGGCTACCAAACGCGTTTTAAACGAAATTATGTCAATTGGAAAGAGCATTATAAAAGTAGGATATACAAGTCCACACAACCACCCTTTAAAAACTGGGCGTTTTGTGTTATTTTTGCGAGAACCATATATACGAGAACGAATTTCGGGGTCCACATTTTGACTCTCAAAAATCGAACTGTTAAGCAGGGTGACCGTTTCAGCCGATTTTCGGCTAACTTTGATAGAACTTTTGTAAAAAAAACCCCGAGTTTGACAGAAAATTTGACAGAATGGATTTTTTGGGCAGATTTCTGGCAGAATTCTGCAAAAATGGTTATTTGATATAAAAACAGCAAATTTGAACCAAAAAGTGTACATTTGTTTAAAAAAGCTTCAATCCTTTCAAACCCACCCTTGCATAATGGGACAGGTTGGGCTGGTCTAGGTCCCGAGGTTCACTGACGGACTTCACTGACGGATCCGCGTTTTGCCCGAAATTTACCAATAATTTCACAACATCTTTATGGGACTAGATTGTTTATTATGTGATTTGAATCTTAATTAAGGTAACACTACCAATCTGCATGTGATTTTAAATGTTTATAGTGTATTTCGAGTAATTCTGAGGAATTTGGCAGATTTTTGATAAATCTGACAGATTTTTGATGTGCATTTAGCAGAATTTGGCTCTGACCTTACGGTCACCCTGCTGTTGAGTGCTAGTTGTGAATCCTGCAGCACAGTGCATCGCATATTCTGCCAACGTGCGAGAAACAACATTTTATGACTGTGTGACGCTCACACAAACGTGTACCGCACATTGAATTGGCACGGCTGGAATTGCGTATGAGTATGCCACAAAATGTTCGCCGCGTCCGATGTAAACAACTGGGTTTTTGTTTTCGTCTTTTCTCGTTAACGCATATAGACATTAGGTTTAGTTTCCTTTCAACCAGAGCTTTGAAATAGGATAAGTACAGTACATAATCCAAAGCATAAGATTTTCGGGGATTTCTGACCCCTTTAATCTTGAAATGGAGCCTTGGGTTAGGTTTGGATAGGACTATTCGGAATGCAGGTTTATATTTCGCCTTTGGAGTTCCCGTAGTACATGTATACGGTTTATGTAGTTTGTGTTTTTCGATGATTATTCAGACAACCATTCTTTCGAACCTTCTCGGTTTGTGTCTATTAGGCTTGTTTGGGCTTGTTCAGTGTTCATTTAGCCAATATCTTTTGCGCGTGGACCAAGCAAAATTCTCGGCCTGTCGTTGTGTGAGCAATACATCTCTCAACCTCCTTGGATTACATAAATCATTCTCCTACTTGAAGGAGGTCCGATTTAGTTTTGTGTTAGATTTCTGTGCGTATTGCACATGCTGTTTCTTGCTGTGCTCTAAATTGTTTATCAGTCTTGTTGCAATACGTATACAGAAAAAGTTGACAGCAAAACCTTCCGATTAATTTCTGAGACTAGCGGTACAGAAACGGCTCAATTGAATTTGCAATTTCCTATATGCAATAATGAGAGAAATTATTTTGGACGTACACAAATCTAGTTAGGGATACACGGTGTTGCACTTTAAAATCGATACCGAAACTCCGTCCGGTGGTACGGTATCAGTGTGCGTCTGTCTACTGCGTGACTGCCTGCCGCACACACCCCGGGACGTCAGCCAAGGATCATGCTGGGCCCATGAGGCATAATACCCGCCAATCGAACTTCGGGGTGATTTCATGAACTTGCATTTCCGTGGGAAACAACCTCCGCACTCCTAAACGAAATTATATACATCAGACAGAGGTCAAATAGTTCTTGTTGCGAGTCGCATGTATTGCAAGTCACCCCTTATGTCTGAGTATCCCCAGGCTTATAAAAACAGGTGGTTGCTGACGTGATGATAGCAGTCTTCGGTCATTATGGATTTGTCAGATGTAATTTCATTCAGGTTCAGTTGTATTGATAGGAAAAAGCCAATTGTTTTGTTCGGTAGGGCCCACCATAAAGCCGATCAAAAAGTAAAAGAATTGTTTTACCACGAACACTCTTGTATGATGGATCTGATGAGGAAATGCACTGTCAGTGTCAGTAATCATGGGCCGGGTTACTCGGTTTAGAATCATATAGTACACGTACGGGTCAATAAATGCGTTATGTAATGCCTATTTCATGAAAAATCTTATCTGTGAAGATTTGAATGGAAAAGTTTCTGCAGAGACCTTTACTTAGATACAAAAGTGGCATTTTATTTAAAGTAAGTATGATCTATACATTTTTGTAAATGAAATGACGCTTCATCCTGTCAGATTTGGTAACACAGGAAAGGAAAAAAACCGTACCGCGGGTTGCCCGATGTGGACAAGGTATTGTGCATTCATTTGCAGTGTGCGCTTTTATTATTCAGAAATCTTTAAGACTGTATTTGCTATAAATTGTGCATGACGGCGACACAGCAAATTCTTTAAACAAGGATTTATTTTGTATCATCCGTGTATTCCACAGTTTCATGAGTGTAATAAATCAGCCTCCTCACACCACCTTTTTATTAGACATTTCGGCTGGATTTATGTCTCTCAACCGGACGATTCTGAAACTGTGATTTTAAGTTTGGCAAAATTTATTAAAAAGCTGTTGAAACGACCATTTGTTTCTAATTATCGTCTTTCGTTTGTGGTTCTGGCTGCGTAGTTTCCCACGCCTCTCAAGGGCGGATATACTCGGTGCGATATCATGTAGCAATTATCCATCTTGCGATAGAGTGCAAACATATGCGCACTTTCATGTAAACTCTAAACTCGATGTGCATGGGTAATATGATTCATCGTATATTTAAATCCAAATTTCAAATTCGCCGGAGCTTCCAGCTGTGGAAGTTTGGTCATTCGAATTCACCATTAAGCAAGCATATGTGGAAAGTAAGCAAAGGAATTCGAAATAGGTCCATGTCGTTCCGTTGTTTGTTAGAATAAGATGATGTGCTTTTGTTCCAATTTGGGAATATGGATAAAACCTGTCTCCCAAAGACTCTGCCACTACTCTTGATCACCATGCAAACTGTTAGATTGAAGCATTAGAAATATGCCTGCAGCTCATGGGCGTTACAAGAGAATGTCAAATGTAGACCGTGGTCGTTTGATCGAAGCTTTCGATGGCAATGCCCAAGACTATATCTGAACTTGCAGACAATGATTATCTTGGCATAAACAGATCAACTGCCAGGTCATTATTGTAACAACGTATCTCAGATGGCAGACGGGAAAACCTGGCAAGAGGAGGGGCCAGAAACACACCAAAAAACGGACGACGACAAGAAGCAGAAATTATGAAAAGGTGAAAGAAATGAAAAGACTCGCATCTTATACCTTCGTTTCTTTTATTTTGAATGGAAAAAGTGCTAAATAGAATGCGCGGAAATGAAAACGAAAACAAGAATCTCATGCAAATAACCCTTGACCAAACCGACTGCTAAATTGAATGATCACTTAAACCGAATGACATAACTTCAATTTAGGATGTGTTTAACATGAAAATGTCAAGTCTTAAAACGAATTTGAACACCTGAAATCTGATACGAACCACGGGAATGACACTAGGGCGCTCCTTCGCATCAAATTGGCCACTATCATGATGAATTCGAATGCTATTTTTGCGAAATTGGCGGCGGAAAACCTATATAAATGTTACGTTAATTGAGTACATATATAGTAACTTCATCGGCTCTATAGTATGCAAACAGCATAGTGAAACGGGCCGAAACCGGATTTACGTAAAGATTCTTCGACATCTTCGAAGTAAGATGTCGACTGACGAGATACTTTATCATGGAATGACGACATCCTCAAAGTAAGATGTGGACTTTCTATAACTGATTACGAGATGATGACGTTCTTAAACGTAATGTCGACATCCTCAGAAAGGATCTTATTTGACTGCGCTAAATTTTTAATCCATAAAGCATTAGGTGTTTTTTGCAATCTTTAAAGTGCTCAAGTGGCTCTAATTGGCCATTCTTATTTTGGCAGTGAAATTCAATTCCGTTTTGTTCAGTACCACACGCACTGCGGGTGAACAACGGTACAATGTCGCCATTATATAGTCCTAATTATGTTGTTTGTTTTTTATCTAAGTTTCAAGCTGTATTTTTTCTTCCATGCTGTATTTTTTATGTCGTATCCTTGATGACGTTCTTCGTTTAATTCCTTCTAATTGTCTTCTTATTGGATTTGCTAAAATTTCCATAAAAAAAGGGATAGGAAAGGGAAATTACTTTACCTAATGATAATATTCCTTTCTAGGTATGTCCGGGT